TTCATGCATGCTGGAAATATTTCGTACAATATATTATTTACACTCTAATATTTTATTTCAGAAAATTAAGGGGCAAAATTTGTAAATTGAGTTTTCCAACCCAACTAAGGTGTAAATAAACATACATTTTGACCAGAGAGTACAAACAAGTGCTGAAAGTCATTAACTACAGATGGCCATTTTAATACATTATGACTATGGACCAATGCTTGATTGATCTCTGTTAAACTTTTTTGCATGATGGTTTAGTGAACAGGGTTAGGTGTACCAATGTTTATCATGTGCATGGACCATGTAATGTCAATTTAGAACAGGGATACATAAATTAGACAATAGGTGATTTTATACAAGCTAAATTTTATAGGATTTTTAAAACAACAAGACAACATAATTTGGTGCCTTGTAAATCAGTCAAAAATATGTCCTAGACATGACCAAAGCCTAGCCATCATTTGATTCCTTAAGGGACAATATTTAACCAATTTAAGCATTCTGTCTATTACATTCTGCAAATAAAAGAAAGATAGAAACTTTAATAAAGAAAAAAAAACAGTATTCAGCAATACAAGATCTACAGAAAAAATGTCAATATCACTGCAACCATCAATTGACTACTTTTAAGAGTTATTGTCATTTATTTAAATTTTTTTGTCAACCTTAGTATATTACCTAATATTTTGAAAACTATGAACATAAAAAAAAGGTCTACAAAAATATTTATTTAATATTTTTTGTCAACCTTAGTATATTACCTAATATTTTGAAAACTATGAACATAAAAAAAGGTCTACAAAAATATGTATATGACTTAAGCCATCAATTGCTTCTTATAGGAGTTTAATACAAGATCCTTTTAAGCTCACCTTTCCAAAGGAAATGTGAGCTTTTGCCATCACTTGGCATCCATCGCTGTCCTCCCGTTGTAAACTATTTCAAACATCTTCTCCTCTGAAACTACGGAACCAATTCCAACCAAACTTAAGCTGAATGATCCTTAGGGTATCTAGAATAAATTTTGTGTTTTATTTTCTGTTTCGTCAAAAAACATGGTCGCCATGGCTAAAAATAGAACAGTTTTTGGCTTTATATATCTTAAAAACTAAAGCATTTAGAGCAAATCTGACAATGGGGTAAAAATGTTCATTAGGTCAAGTTCTATCAGCCCTGAAATTTTCAGATGAATCTAACAACCCATTGTTGGGTTGCTGCCACTAAATTGGTAATTTTAAGGACATTTTGCAGTTTTTGGTTATTATCTTGAATATTATTATAAATAAAGATAAACTGTAAACTGCAAAAATGTTCAGCAAAGTAAGATCTACAAATAAGTTTATATGACCAAAATTATCAATTGACCCTTTAAGGAGTTATTGCCCTTTAAGGACAATTTTACTAAATTTGTTTATCATGTTTTCTAACTTTAAAAAATCTTCTCCTCTGAAACTACTGAACCAAATTAAACCAATGATTCTTAGGTTATCTAGAATAAAGTTTGTGTTTTATTTTCTGTTTCGTCAAAAACATGGCTGTCATGGCTACAAATAAATCCTTTAAAGACAATTTTTCACAATTTGTTCATCTAGTTTGCTTACTTTAAAAAATCTTCTCCTTTGAAACTGCTGAATCAATTTCAGCCAAATTTGGGCTGAATGAGTTTCAGAGTATCTAGTATAAATTTTGTATTTTATTTCCTTGTACGTCAAGAAACATAGCCACTATGGCTAAAATGGAACATAGGGGTGTTTTTTTTTGCTTTTGAAGATAATATGAGATACTAAGAACATTTAAATGGCATTTTGAAGCCACTGATTAATATATATTGAAAGCAAAAATAATTATTGATGAAAGATTTAAGCAAAAAATTACAGGTGAGCGATTCACATAAATTTTCCTTAATTAGGGCCTTGCCGATTAATCGACAAGGGAAATACCAGGTAGTAATCAGCTTGTCGATCTATCTGTGCCTCTGTCCGTCACAATTTGTTTCCACTCTCTAGCAAGTTGGGTAAAAATCTTGGCATGATTATAAACCACTACTAGAATGTTTGTGGTGTATAAGGAAGTAAACTGTACATCATGGTCAAAAACTTAAACTTAGTCACCCCTACAAAAATGATTTCAGTTCTCTAATTTAAAAGATCTTGGGAGTTAAAGGATGAAAAAGTTGTGCATCAGAAAATTTCTGATTTCAATTGGTATAAGCTAGGTTTAAATTGAATAACCTTGATTTTTTTTTTAAATTTGCATCACAAGTTCCATAATTACTCAAGCAGGGTCCATCTGTGATGGCTCTAAGGACCATCATTTAGTTTGTTTTTACCAGTATTTAAGTTTAGGAATCATATTAAAATCTATCAACCAACAGGGAAATCAAAGAGTCAGAAAGTCCGCATCTTCTGTTTGTCCATCGAAATTTGTCAAACCAATCCTTATTTTAGTTGTTGATAATGATATTTATAACCTTTTACTGACCTATGGCATGGTGATGGTTTATTTGTTCTGATGCTTCAAATTATTCTATGTAGATTTGTATATAACTTTCTTATTAGGTAAATATGTGTCATTGATCTATAGAGACTATATTTTTAGTTGTTAATTTGGGATTTTTTTGTCGAGCCTTTGACTTTAGTCGAAAAAGCGAGACATAGCTATCCTACGGCGTCCACAAATATTCACTCTGTGGTTAAAGTTTTTGAAATTTTAATAACTTTCTTAAACTATCCTGGATTTCTACCAAACTTGGATAGAAGCTTTTTTATGATCATTAGATAGTATCCAGAAGTAAATTTTGTTAAAATAAAATTCCTGTTTTTCCATATTTTACTTGTAAATGGACTTAGTTTTTCTGCCGGGAAACATTACATTCACTCTGTGGTTAAAGTTTTTAAAATTTTGATAACTTTCTTAAACTATCCTGGATTTGTACCAAACTTGGACAGAAGCTTGTTTATGATCATAAGATTGTATCCAGAAGTAAATTTGTTAAAAAAAAAAAATTACATTTTTTCCGTATTTTACTTATAAATGGACTTAGTTTTTCCGCCAGGAAACAATACATTCACTCTGTGGTTAAAGTTTTTGAAATTTTAATAACTTTCTTAAACTATCCTGGATTTGTACCAAACTTGGCAGAAGCTTGTTTATGATCAAAAGCTAGTATCTAGAAGGAAATTTTGTTAAAATTTTGTACCTGTTTATCTGTATTTTACTTATAAATGGACTTAACAGTTAACATTAAATACAGTCTGCAGTTACAGCCGATTTCATTGAGTGTGTAGGCAAAGGTAATATCTTTGGTTAGCTTGCTTGCTAGCTGAACCATGAAGTCATTATTAGGTTAGGTAAACTACCCTCCTATAAGAGTAGACTAGTCCGACAGATAACCAATCTATCTGTCTTGTTGGACTAGGCTATTTCCAAAGGAGGGTAGTATACCTAACCTAATAATGACTTCACGGTTCAGCTAACAAGCAAGCTAACCAAAGATATTTACCTTTGCCTACACACACAATGAAATCAGCTGTAAAGTTTTTAAAACATTTATTAGATTCATAAACTATCCTGGATTTATACCAAACTTTGACAGAAGCTTCATACAATCAAAAGATAGTATCTAAAGGAATATTTTTATTGATTTTTTTCCTCATTTTTGTTGAGCCTGCGATTAACAGCAAAAGTAGGCGAGACACTGGGTTCCGCGGAACCCTTACAAATTTTTGTGTGTCATGTTCACCTTTCTTGAAAATCTTGAAGAGACCACAGACTTTGTTTCTATAATGTAAACAGTAGATGCTTTGGTACAAAAATGCAGAACTAATTGAGATTTGTCACTATTAGCCTAGCTATAAGAAACTGGACATTTTCTGTCTTGAAGTCATCCCCCTAAGCACCTTTGTATTTAAGAATAACCAAAGAACATTCAAAAATGGCCATATGGAATTTAGAATCAAAACAATTTTGCAAATGCAGGCATGGAATCAAAAGACAGACATATTCTTTACCATGTCAACTGCAAACATTGAATAGAGAGTCAAACTTGTTCTTTGTAGTAATTTTAATCATGCAATCAAGAGACAAACAACCACTTCCTTTAACAACTGCAAGCATGACATAGTTAGAAAAGCCTCTTCTTTCCACTAACAACTGTAATGATAGAAATGTGTGATAGAAACCTTCCTTGCCCTGCAAACTGCATGTAAGGAATCAAGAAACAGGCAACTTCTTTGCCCAACCAACTGCAACATGAAAATAAAAGACAGACATCTTTCTTCCCCTACCCACCTCAATATAAAAATAAGGAGATGTGGTATAATTGCCAATGAGACAACTATCCACCAGAGTTCAAATGAAGTAGATGTAAGCAATTATAGGCCACCGTACGACCTTCAACAATGAGGAAAACTCTTACCATATTGTTGGCCATAAAAGGCCTTGACATGAAACTGTGAAACAATTCAAACTAGAATTCTAATTGCCTAATTTTTAATAAAACAATTTACAAAAATCAAATATGATAGACATGAACCAACGGCACCCACTGATACAGGCTCCTGACTTGTGACAGGCACATACATAATGTGGCATGGTTAAACATGTTTGTGAGCGCTCGACCCTCCCCTAACCTGGGACAGTGGTTTAACACCACAACATAAGAACAAACAGTAAAAATCAGTTGCAATTGGCAGAATTCAAAAGATCGGTATGAGGCACAAAAACAAAAGACACAAAGCACTGATATAAAGAGTGCTCACAGTTACTGAAAGCTAGTTCAAAGCCAATTACTACTAATTGATAAATCATGTTCTCCAAGATTAAAGTGGAATCAAGCATGTAATCCAGAGACAAACAACCATTACCTTTCCTTGCCAACTGCAAGTATGCAATTTTGAGACAAACCTCATCTTTGCTAACAAACAACATACCTTAAATTAAAAAAAAAACGACTCATCTTAAGTATTATATAAGAAGCTTGTATTCATCATATGTTTATATATTTTCAGTGGAAAGCAGATGATAAGCCTGTGAAAATAGATAAATGGGACTGTTCTGCTTTGAAAAATGCATTGGATGATGCAGCTAAAAAGGTAGGATTTAATATAAACCTCACTACATAAAAACATTTAAAATATGTTAAAAATGACAACATTACTCTAGTTTCAAATAAAATTTTATCCTTTTTAGCTCACCTGGCCCAAAGGGAGAAACTTTAGATTGCAAAAATGATCAGCAAAACAAGTCTAAAAATAAGTCTTACATGGTTGAAATCGTCAGTCGACTCCTTATTAGATTTATTGCCCTTTGATGACGATTTTTACCAATTTTTTGCCTTTTTGCCTTATATCTTAAAAACTATAATAGATAAATAGACACTTTAAATCACAAAAATGATCAGCAAGGCAAGATCTACTAACAAGTCAAATTTTGCTGATATGGTTAGTAAATTGTCACTCTTTACAGTAGTGATTGCCCTTAAATGAGGATTTTTTTTTACCCTCTTTTGTGTTTTGAGCAAAAACTAAAAAAGATAGAGAGAAACTAAACAGACTAAATGATCAGCATAACAAGATCAACAAAACAGAGATTTTTGTCATGAATTCTTTTCTCATCTACAATGTTGGAGATTGCCCTTTGTTGATTATGCACATAGACCAAGGTGATCGACAGAGGCTCTTTAGAGCCTCTAGTTGTCTATTATCTTGAAAAGTATAATAGACGGAAGGGAAACTTTAAATTACAAAAATGATCAGCAAGACAAGTTATACAAAAAATTCCAATGGTCGAAATCATCAGTCAACTCCCTATAGAGTTATTGCCCTTTCATGACGATTTTTACCAATTTTTTGTGTTTTTGCCTTTATCTTAAAAATTATAATAGAAAGATAGAAACTTAAATAAGCAAAAATGATCTACAATTAAGACAATATGGAGGAAATCGTCTGACAACTCCTTATTGGAGTTATTGCCCTTAAATGACAAATTTTACCTCTTTTTTTGTTGTCATTTTTGCCTATTATCTTGAAACTATAATAGATAGAGAGAAACTTTAAATTGCAAAAATTATCAGCAAGACAAGTTCTACAAATAAGTCTCACATGGTCGAAATCGTCAGTAGACTCTTATAAGAGTTGTTGCTCTTTGATGACGATTTTTACCAATTTTATGCCTTTTTGCCTTATACCTTAAAATTTTAATAGATAGAAACTTAAATAAGCAAAAAAGGTGTGCAGACTTACTAAAATCAACTGTTAAACTGAATATAAGTTTTGAATACTGGGGATTATTGTAAGTGGGATACACATTTTTCATTGATTTTGGGGCTAAAGAATTTTCCTATGAACTTGTATTAGATTTGTCACACGAAATCAAGTATCCACTAAAATGGAATTTCTCTTCAAGCAATGAAATAAATGAAACTTTAGTATGTATAAATCATTGTAATTCAAGTAAGGCAAAAACAATTACATTTTTATCAAAATTGGATATTTTAAATCTTATAAGTTTTGGTGTTTTTTTTTTTGTGAAAAAATTGGATGAAGTATAACATGACAGTTTTTCAGGGGGCATTTTAAACTTAGGTTTGATAGATATGGTATGACCTATTTTAGCTTATGATCATGAATGGGCAAACACACCTTACTTTGACACGCCCAACAATGACTGAATTTTATTCTATTTCTTAGAAATTGGACAATAAAAAGTACATCATTAAGCAACATTTCTGAACAAATTTTGGCTTACAAATGTATTAATCATCTCAAGAGATAATAAACTCTTACCTCAACATTATTTATTGAATTTCTTTGACCTGTGTTAGTTTGATGGTGGTGTACAGGTACAAAATATCTTAAATTCCATATTATTAAAAAAAACTAGTTCAACAGCTATAGTATGAATAGTAATATACTCATAATACTTTTTTTAACAATGATGAAAATATCATGGTATTTGCATGCTTTTACATGCCTTTTATACAGTTTGCAAGTAACCATTTCTTGGTATATTTAACATTTTTTTGTAAGACCGTTTCTTGGTAATCATTTGAAAAAAACAGGAACTTGTTAGCTTAAATGTTTTTTGTTAATATTTGCAGGTGATGACAGAGAATTTTGGTTTTAAAGAAGAACACAGATTGATGGACCTGCGTTTACTGATTTGTACTGTAGCTGTAGGATTTTCTCTCTTTGCCCTTGTATGGGACTACATCAGGCCATTTCCAGAATCTCGACCAATTCTCATTATTTGCGTTCTATCGTATCCTTATATTTAAATAGCTTTTATATACCTCCACTCTAAGGGAAATGGTATACTGTTTTATATCTGTCCATCATAGCTTCTTGATATATATGGTACCAAGCCAAATCTGTTAATGTAATACCTTCAGGCTTGTCACAAGTTTCCAGTTCCTTCTATGTTCTAATTCCTGTTTGTCATATCTTACAAATGTCATGCACACGTATGAAATTTTTGTCAGGTTTAGTCAAAAGCATTGAGTGGGAGCATAAGTAGTGAGCAATAGCTCACAATAGATTTTGTTCATAGTAGTCTTCACTATCAGGATGATTTTGTTAAACTTCGGTGTAATTAGGGGATGAAGGGTTGCAGCAGTCCATTCCATTATTCAAAATTGGCTATTTCAAAATTTTCACGCCTATTTTAGCTTTTAGGTCCTCCGTAACCCCTCTTATCGGCATTGCGTCACATATTGATTATATACCTTTTGTTTCTCTGTCTCATGGTTCACTGACTGAGAAAATTTGCATAGTTTGCAATAAAATTTCGACCCTGTAAGAATTTATATCAGGTTTATTATCCCTATGTCCATGATGTCCTTCAATGTAAAATTTTACATGGGATAACATCTGAGCAATTCAGGCTCCTTTGTTCCTCTAGTGCTATTTTTCTTAAAGTACTGGGTTATTTGTTTGCTTTCACCCATTTAAGTGAAATATGTCAATGTAAGGATTGATTGAAGTAGCTGTTTATCTTAACACCAAAATAAATGACTTTAACTCTTAACCAGATATTTCATGCTCATGGGAGTTTTGACATTATATACCACATATATGGAACAGAATATTTTCTTGGTAGCATCAGATAAAGACAAAGCAGGATTAGAACCAGATGATAAATGGGAGTTAGCCTCAACCCTCAAAAAGTAAGAACTGGCCTTAAAGTCAAAGTTTTCCAGTACGATTTTCGTACTCAAGACTCAGAAATCAACTAAAGTTTAAAATAATCTCACTAGTATATTTTTATACAACCGCAAAAAATTTGGGGGTCGTAAAACCATCGTATATTGCTATCACCTTGTCGTCGTCGTCCGAAGACATTTGGTTTCCGGACAATAACTTTAGTTAAATTGTATGGATTTCTATGAAATTTAATCAAAAGGTTCAATACCACAAAAGGAAGATTGGGATTGTTTTTGGGGGTGATGGTCCAAACCATTAAGGAATAAGGGGCCAAAAAGGGGCCCAAAACAAGCATTTTTCTAGTTTCAGGACAATAACTTGTGTATAAGTATTTTGATTGATCAGAAATTATACTACAAGGTTCAATACCACATGTAGAAGGTTTGGATTCATTTCGGGGGTAATTGCCCAAACCGTTCAGAAATTAGGGGCCAAAGAGGGTCTAAAACAAGCATTTTTCTAGTTTTCAGACAATAACTTGTGTTTAAGTGTATGGAAGTCTCTTAAATTGTACCACATTTTACAAAAAGAAAATTTCTTCAAAAATATATTTTTTTTAGGAAAGGGGGGTGTAAAAAAAAAATTTTGGGGGGATTGTCAATTTTTTTTCCTCAAGATTTAAGAAATTGGGGGTCACAATTTATTTTGCTAATTCTTTGTATATAGTCTGAAAACAGATTTACTAAGTATTGAGCAACAGCACAGTGTATTGCACAACAGCAAGAAATCTTCATTTGAATATAAATTCATATCATATAACCTATTTCAAGTTCTTTGACTACCTTTATTGTGTGTCAGAAACCTAAAATGTGTCAAATATTTAATTACAATCCAAATTCAGACCTGTATCAAGCTTGAATATTGTGTCCATTTTTGCCCCAACTGTTCAGGGTTGGACCTCTGCAGTCGTATCCAGCTGCGATTGGCGAAGCAGTTTATTTTAACGTAAATTGGTTTAGAATAATTTTGGTCACTATTCTATAGGTATTTGTGAGCTTCAAGCAATAAAAAAAATATTGTAAATTTCATTGAAAATGTCAGTTTAGAATGTAGCATACAAGAATATTCTATATAAAACAAAAAGAATTTGTTATTATATTATTCTGCAATTGTATTTTAAAGGTACACTCACCTGTATAAACTGAAAATGACCTTTACCAATGGAAAAACAGGTCTAAGCAGATCAGAAGAAATAGAGAGGCCAGTCAACAACTATTTTGATGAAGATGGCACTTTATTATTTAAACTATTTGAACCTGAAGTTAGAACTCTACAGGGCAGAATAGCTGCTGCATCCAAAAAGGAATGACTCATTTTGTTATAAATTTTCATTAATTGTTGGTGTCTCAAGTGCTATATGAAAAAATAAAGTTTTAAATTATGATGTTCAGAAGTTGGAATAATGTTATGAAGAAAATCAGCTTTGACTAGTCATATCGGAAGAAAATAATATATAAATCATTTCATGTTATGTAAGAAAATGTAAATTTATATTTTGAGAATAAGATGTTGCCATGATTAATTATATCTGTTTTTCAGTGTTAAAAAGAGAAGATTTCAAGCAGCTTAATTTATAGCTTCTGTGATTATCCTAACACAATGAATCAATGTTTCCTGTACTAACAGTTATTATTATTTGAAACCAGTTTATAACCAATTCAAACTGTAATTCTGTAAATGGCAATGAAAAAAACAATGTATCCTGTAAATGAATTTAGTGCAAAAGTTATTCCTGACAAAATCACAGATAATGTCAAATAAGTCTACAATTGTAGTACATTTTTTTCTTTTTTTTTTCTTCAAGATTATGTAAAATAAACATTTTAAGCATGTGCATTTGTAAAAAAAGGTCAATTTATAAATAGAACCATTGATACAGCCCATTAAATATCAATGCCATTATTGGTTTTAAATAAACATTGGAAACAAATAATTCTATATGCTGTACAAATTTATGAATCAAATTCATTCATTAATATGGAGGTGCACAACATTCTTGAAACATGTAAAAATAAAACTCCCTAATTTATAATGGTTTTAAAATGATATTTCCAACAGGTGCTTTATACTAGTGTTGAATTTTGTCTACACAATCTAGACTCATTAGTGTCAATGTTTTGTTGTAAGGGAGCTACCATTTGATTTTTATGGGGGGGCTAGGATGAAATTTGGAAAAAAGGCGGGACAGGAGTTTTGAGTAAAAAAAAGGCAGGATGACAATTTATGTAAAAAAAGTCAGGATAAACTAAAAAAAAAAAGGCTGGACCGAATAGAGTGAAAAATAAAAAGGCATGACAGAGATTACAACTACAAAAAAAATGCAGGACAAAATTTTTCATCCTAGCCCACCCATAAAAATTAAATGGTAGCTCCCTAATGAATTCCTATTCTTACAAGAACACTTTTTTGCTTAAATTAGTTTGCTTTTTGTATGACAAAATTTTTCACCTTTTTCTCTACCAATTCTAATCTATATGATAATTTGAATTTATTGCTGCTCTATAATCAATAATAATTTTACAATAAATTGCTGACTAATAGCATTGGTTTGTTTAAGGAAGAGTGTGATGGATAGAAATCTTATGAAACAAATGACTCTATTCTGTGCCTTCTTATGTTGTATGTGAAAATTCTAATTCTATGATTTAAGTTTTGTTAGGAGGTGCTGTTTTTAGTAAGATCATTTTGTACCTTTGTTGTAAACATTTTGTAAAACTTCTTGGTTAAGGAATAAATGTATATAAAAATGTTACATATGGGGTACTATTTTTTTATGCCAAAGAGGAAATTACGTCATCGCTGGTTCTGCAATGCCTTTTCTGTTTTAATAACCAAAGAATATCTCTTACATAATCTTGTGAACCATTTCAAACAGATTATCATCTGATATCACTAGTTTGTTTGGTTTATGTCCCTTTGATTATTTACAAGTGGATCAAAGCAAATACAGAAGAAATTGTCCCAACCTTTTTCAGTACAATGTTTATTGAAAGGGACCACAAACATTTTTTTGCTTGTTTGTTAGATATCTGTCTGAATACAAAGCTACAAATTTAAGAAGGTAGAACAGCTGGATAATCCATATCTTAAATGTAGATAACTTATTGTTTTGAATATGTCCAATTTCCTTGACCTCAGTTTGTCAGTGACTGCACAATTAACTATAGTTTTTATGCCCCTGCAATTAAGTGACCATGGCATATATTGTTACCAAGGATTTATAAAGTAGTTTATATACATATTCTTGGTGATAACAGTATTGGTCATTCTATTATTCTATCATTACACAGATTGTCAGTTGTCAGATCTGAATTGATTTTTTGGTTCATACGTGTATAGTGATGACTTAAAGATTGAATTTGTGTTCTGTTCTGCTTGACCAACTTCTGGCTTGATAAGTCCTCGGACTTAGACATTTCATGAAAATTGTACTAGTCTAGACTTCAGATGTGGAGCTGAATTGTTGTAGAATCATGACAGCCTAAACTTTTGGTGTCAACCTCTTTGTACGTTAAAGAACAATTGCAACAACTCTTAGGGGTCCATAGGTGGTCTGTTGCTATCCAACATACTCAGTTTACAGGGCAGTCCAAAAATCCCTACTTTAAATGACTTACCTATTGCATTAATTGTTAATTTGGTCTTGTACAGAAAATGTAATAAATATATACCACTGGACATATAGCAAACAACAATCAATCAATCATATTCATGGTTCACAGTTCATTGTTGACTACCATTGCGACAAATCTCCACCAGTAACCAAATGATGTAGAAGCTTACAACAAATGATCACTGTAAGGCCTTCAACAATGAGCAAAACCCATACTACATAGTAAGCTATAAAAAGTCTCAAAACGACAAATGTGAAACAATTCAAAAGAGAAAACTAAAGGCCTGATTTATGTACATTACAATAAACGAAAAGTAAATATGATATACAGACAACCACTGAATTACCTGACTTGGGACAGGCACATACATAATGTGGCAGGGTTATACATGTTTGCTAGCGCCAAAATCTCCCTTCACCTGGGACAATGATGTAACAGTACAGCATAAGAAAAAGCAATAAAGATAAGTTGAAAAGGGCTGAACTCATCAAATCGATACAAAGTGCAGATCTGAGATTACTAACAGTTCTATTACTGACAGCTTGTTCAAAGCCAAAAACAACTAATAACAAAATCATGTAAGAAAAACATGACCTTGTGCAATACCAAAATATAGGTATCAACATATTGTAGGACCACGAATATACATGTGTATAACAAAAATGTTAAGTTGGGTTTTAATTTATTGGTAACAAAATCAATATGTATACCGTTAAAACAATATTCAAAGATCTGATTACAGTGTTGGAAACCGTTTAGAATAAATTTTTTTAAAGGATCGATAAGTTTACACGGATCGTTTCTATATTTACGGGCTCGGGTAAACAACATCACTGTAAAAGTTAAAATGTGCTCTTCCGTTTGTAATAAGTTTTCTACAGGTACGGCAAAACTTCCAAAACAAAATATTCTGTATCTATGAAAGAATTTAGTAAACGTTTTAAGCAATTTGTGGTAACAAAGTCCTGGACTAAAATTATGATTTACCAGTAACAAAAGATTACGTTCATTGAAATCCAAAGCGTCACTACAGACACGGGCATAGCGAACGTGTTGGGTTTATGGAATAATTGCAAGACGTACCTTTCTATCTGGTAGGTTTTATCTGACCTTGACCTCATTTTAATTTATCATAACTTTTCATATTTTAACATAAAGGAGACTTTGAAAATGAATATTCTGGCCTGGTAAGTTTTGAAAATGAATTATCTTGACCAAGGCAGAATGAACATGAATATTCTGCAACACTAAATACAGCAATTTACGGGAAATAATTTTGTGGAAAAAAAGTAAGTCATTTAATCCGTAAAATACGGGGGAAAAAATATTTAAAACATTTTTGCTTTTTTGGTCATAAAAAAGCTTTTGTCCAAGTTTCGTAAAATTTCTTGAAGGCCTGGTAAAGTTATTAATGTTTAGATAAATGTAACCTTAATACTATATTCTTAATGTAAAGGTTAAAAGAAGCTAAGTCCATTTATCAGCAAAATGCGGAAAAAATGAAAATAAAGTGCATCTCAGTTAGTGTGTCATGTACAATTTTGTCTTTTACACTTTTTTCTAATCAAACACAAACATATTATGTTTAAACTCTGAAAACACCATTTATCTGTTTTCAAAATCAAAGATTTTCATCATAATAATAGTCCACGGGTGTCATTCGTTATATCGAGAAAAATGATCATGAAAGAATAACTAACGGTGGTCAAGCATTGAAATTGGATCGTGAAAGATCTGGTATCGGATCGTGAATTCTATTTCAAAATCTGCAGTATTTTCAAAAGGTGGGACAAATAAGAAAAAAGAAATATGTCTGTCAAAATGATTCAACTTCTTTAAAAATACTGTGCACTAAGTTAAGGAAAAAAATGCAGTATTTTTTTAAGAAAACATAAAAGGCAACACACAATCCTTTTAAAATCATAAAGAAAAAATCACGTTTTGTGTTTATAATTGTCACATTCCAATATATCATGATACATTTGAAACTTAATCTTTAGTTTGTGAGATAGTCCAGTAAAATAAAAGTATGGTATTACTTGAATTTTTGAAAAAAGTATAATTTTGTTGATTTCTAATCAAAATTTATCGTGAAAGATCAGACAACGCATTATTTTGATCGTGAAAGACAAGGCGTGACCAGACTTAATGTTCACAAAACAATATTTCTTTTACCAATCGAGATCATTCAATTTTGAAATGAGCTGCGTCGGATATAAATCGACCTTATGCAAATGAATATCAATAAATATGTTAACCTATTTCAGGTTGAAAAAAATCTCTGCAAAGTATTAACTGTTTGAATTTGGGTTGATATTAGAACCCTTCAAAACAGACCAAAATTCATCTCATATTTCGTAATTGAATGTCCCAAAATTAATCAAAGTCTTATACATGTTCATGTATACGTGTACTTGCATAAGGTCGATTTCTACCAGTAATTTGCCTACTTCATCCGCGTATGGAGTATACAATTATCAACTCCGACGATTTTCAGGAGCTTGCAGTTGCTGCTCAAAGTTTGTAAAACGTCGTCAGTGTCAGAGCAAAAAAATAATGAGCCAGGGTTTTGTGAAAAGAATGTCTCGTCCTTTTTCTCATTAAACATTCGGTGTCTACTTAACAAATAATAACGGATGATCTTGAGTTAAAGATTCTAGGTGCTGACTGAGTAGAATTTTATATAATACTTTACAGTTTTACATTTATTTGTCTTTGTACTATTATGTTCAATTTAGTCGTATGACCTTTGACGTGGTTCAGTATTTTTGCATCTAGCTTTTAGGTTTTTGGCTTTTGGCGTTCCTTATGCGGGTGAGGTTTTAATAGTGTTGTTTTCATCTTGTATACCTTGTATTTATATTTTACTTATTTTGTAAGTATCGGGAAAATGTATATGTCATTATGCTTTACTATACTGACTGTAGTATCAACTACAAAAACTTTTTTTTATTGGCGTCTTTGTTTGATTTAATTGTAAGTGTGTTTGAATGTTTAATTTCAGTTGTGTCACAGTGTATGTTTACACAGTTTTTGGCTGCTGGATCCCAGGTATGACCAATTATGTCTGTTTGGGTTGATCACCCAATTTTGCAATATTATGAAACATTAAACAACTGTCATAAAAGTGGGCGTTTTAGATGGCTATAAAACCAGGTTTAACCCACCATTTTCTTGGAAAAATGGCAGTGCCAAGTCAGGAATATGATAGTTGTTTTCCTGTATTTTATTTTAAACACTGATTTTGTTTCTCATTTCTACAAAAATCAACAAGGATCTTCGTTTTATAGATATGATTGTGCATAAAAGTTAATGGAAATCAGATGAGACAATCTTAACTTTTCATGCGACATTAAACTTATGCAGGATGGACAGACGGACTAATATTGTTATAAGGCAACTAGTCGGTGTGGTATTATCAAATAATCAGATACAGAGGCGGATTTAGGGAGGGGGCCGCCCCCCCCCCCCCTTTTGTGGAAAAAAATGTTGATTATTTAGGGAATCACTGAAGCATAACTGGAGCGGGCCCCCTCTTTTGCAGTTAGTGGGCCCCCTTTATGAAAATTTCTGGATCCGCTACTAAGATCTAATGGCATTGGACCATCATAGCCCTATTCACAAACAAATGTGAAGCGGAATAAGTCATGCTATACCAATTACAAATATAAATTATTATGTGTTTAAAAAAAGATTTTATCGATCTCGTGGATTTTTGCAATTACGAATGAGCGGCAACAGATCTTTCACGATCCTTTTCACGATCATCAAAATGCGGTACCCGATCTTTCACGATCACAAATATCCAGTTTTAACAAATACGTCTATGTTTTCAAAGTTTCTGATTAAACTAAAACAATATAACTGTAAGAACTATTTTAAACAGTAACATTGAATGATATGTTTAAGAGAAAAGTAGTTTATGCATTTAAAATTTGATAACAATCATGTTTGTTTTCATTTTTATTTCTTTGAAATTTCAAAGAGCAATCTGCCTTTTGCAGTTTTGTAAAAAAAACTTCTAAACCTTGATTTTTTGTCGAGCCTTCGACTTTTGTCGAAAAAGCGAGACATAGCGATCCTACATTCCGTCGGCGTCGTCGTCGTCGTCGTTGTCGTCGGCGGCGTCCACAAATATTCACTCTGTGGTTAAAGTTTTTGAAATTTTAATAACTTTCTTAAACTATCCTGGATTTCTACCGAACTTGGACAGAAGCTTGTTTATGATCATAAGATAATATTCAAAAGTAAATTTTGTAAAAAAAAAATCAATTTTTTCCGTATTTTACTTATAAATGGACTTAGTTTTTCTGCCAGGAAACATTACATTCACTCTGTGGTTAAAGTTTTTGAAATTTTAATAACTTTCTTAAACTATCCTGGATTTCTACCAAACTTAAAAAGAAGCTTGTTTAAGATCATAAGATAGTATCCAGAAGTAAATTTTGTAAAAAAGAAATTCCATTTTTTCCGTATTTTACTTATAAATGGACTTAGTTTTTCTGCCAGGAAACATTACATTCACTCTGTGGTTAAAGTTTTTAAAATTTTAACAACTTTCTTAAACTATCCTGGATTTGTACCAAACTTGGACAGAAGCTTGTTTATGATTAAAAGCTATAGTATCTAGAAGGAAATTTTGTTAAAATTTTGTTCCATTTTTTCCGTATTTTACTTATAAATGGACTTAGTTTTTCTTCCAGTTAACATTACACACAGTCTGCAGTTTAACATGTTTAAGTTTTTAAAACATTTATTAGATTCATAAACTATCCTGGATTTTTACCAAACTTGGACAGAAGCTACTTACAATCAAAAGATAGTATAGAGAGGAATATTTTTATTAATTTTTTTCCTCATTTTTGTTGAGCCTGCGATTAACAGCAAAAGTAGGCGAGACACTGGGTTCCGCGGAACCCTTACGAATTTTTCTCGGATACTGATCAGAATGTTGAATATTTTTACAGACAGTTTTAATTTTCCAATATTTGTCATTATAGTTCATAAATATTGGATTATTTACTGACGCTGTATGTATCTTCTCGATAATATTTCCTTCGCGATCTATACTCGTGAGATCTTTCACGATCCAATCGCATTACTTGACCATTGTTACTTATTGTTTCACGATCATTTTTCTCGAAATACCGAATGACAGCCGTGTAGTCGCAAATTCTTGTTCTTTTAGAAATCATTTCAATTTGTTGCTGCGAACAGGTTCCAATTTACCAGAACGGATCACAACATCTGTTATGCAGACGATATGTCCTATTCATTGATGAATTCGGTTCCTAGTTAGTTTATCTAAATGCTTAAGGTTAAATCTTATATTTTAAAATCGTACAAACTCAGATTTTTAAAATTAAATTTTATACTATTGAATTTTAAAATTTTAGATTTTGAACTAACCAAAGTCTTATCAATCAGTTTTATCCATTTTGAAAAAAGATAAGTTTTATGATTTCTTGTCAGACGGATGTGTACATTGTAAATACATGTTCTCTCTCCTTTTACCATCTTACTTTTATTTTATTTAATTAACATTTATAACTATATTTACAAGGTAAATTAAATTATTTTTAAAATAAACGCATATATTTTTAATGCAGTGACCCTGCAAATAGGGTGTACTTCTGAATAGAAAAAAGAAAAAGAAGCTTGGACAAATACATTTATCTATTGGTCCCAGTGTAAATAACTTGCAGTAATTAAGGTATTTCAGTTTATTTGTTCGAGGTGACCTATCAGAATTTTAATGACAAATGTCTATTGAATGAATTTGTAATTCGCCTTGTGTTCTCAGTAACAGGATGATAACGTCAAACTCTACCCACAGAATAGCGTCATAATAAGCTCATGTTTCTTTAATTCATAAATTTGGCACCTATTGCTGTATATAAACATTAGTGCATGTGCGTACGTTGTAGTAATTCGTATTAGCATTCACCTTCAAAGACATGGAATTTATTATTGTGATAACTGCATTCCTAATTAACTTTTCTGGAAGGTAGGGTTTTCTTTTGAATATAATTTAATTATACTGCTGTAAGATTGATTTTGTTTCATTACTTTTTAATGGTGTTTGTATGTTTAGAAACTTTGCATGATCTAACCCCTATACGAAACGTCAGTTGTACTAGAAATACTAAGCAAGGCCCGGAATTCTCAAGAAAGTAAAAATGAAAAGGGTTATTCTTTTTAATAATAGGTTGGTCATAAATGGAATTTTATAATTTTGTTGTTATGATATTGTGTTGGTATTTGCCTTTACGATACAAAAGAAACTATTATAGCTATCATAGGTCCTAAACTCTTATTATAGCTATCATAGGTCCTAAACTCTTATTATAGCTATCATAGGTCCTAAACTCTTATTATAGCTATCATAGGTCCTAAACTCTAATTATAGCTATCGTAGGTCATGAACTCTTATTATAGCTATAATAGGCCCTAAACTCTTATAGCTACCATAGGTCCTAAACTCTTATTATAGCTATCATAGGTCCTAAACTCTTATTATAGCTATCATAGGTCCTAAACTCTTATTATAGCTATCATATGTCCTAAACTCTTATTATAGCTATCATAGGTCCTAAACTCTTATTATAGCTATCGTAGGTCATGAACTCTTATTATAGCTATAATAGGCCCTAAACTCTTATTATAGCTACCATAAGTCCTTAACTCTTATTTTAGCTATCGTAGGTCCTACACTCTTATTATAGCTACCATAGGCCCTAAACTCTTATTATAGCTATCCTAGGCCCTACACTCTTATTATAGCTATCATATGTCCTAAACTCTTATTATAGCTATCATACGTTCTAAACTCAAATAATAGCTATCATAGGCCCTTAACTCTTATTATAGCTAGCATAGGTCCTACACTCTTATTATAGTTATCATAGGTCCTAAACTCTTAATATAGCTATCATAGGTCCTAAACTCTTATTATAGCTATCATAGGTCCTAAACTCTTATTATAGCTATCATAGGTCCTAAACTCTTATTATAGCTATCATAGGTCCTAAACTCTTATTATAGCTATCATAGGCCCTAAACTCTTATCATAGCTATCATAGGTCCTAAACTCTTATTATAGCTATCATAGGTCCTAAACTCTTATTACAGCTATCATAGGTCCTAAACTCTTATTATAGCTATCATAGGTCCTAAACTCTTATTATAGCTATCATAGGTCTTAAACTCTTATTTAGCTGATTTCAAAAACTGGAAAGAAGAATTTGTTGATTGATTGTTGTTTGGCTCAACATCCAGTTGCAAATATTTCATAAATATCCTGAACAAGAACAACATTTAAGCAATAAAGCACTACTTAATCTTTACCCACAAAAATTGGTACCCCTCGAATTATAATGAATTTGAAAAACCAGTAAGAATTAAAAGCACTGTTCCTGATCCTTCTTTAATTTCTTTTGAAGGTTTTCGTCAAATCACTTTGGATCAAATAAATGAATGATTATTTACTTTATGTGCTATATATTGAAAGAATAAAAATACATGCCCATTTCAATATACTTTGAAATATTTTAGTAAGAATATAATACATAATTACGACACGATACATAGTGTTTTATGAAAATAACACATTATAAATTTCGTGCGTTCGAATCGCTTTTGTGGATTAACCGTCATCAGGAACGCTCAAACCGAAACCTAAATTAGTAATCCAGGGATGCATAAATACACAGGAAAGTTAGGAGATATATGAGTAAAAGGGACTTAAAAATAACTGAAGGTCAACTTTGCCTGAGGGAGTTGGAACCTGTGTTTCTTTTCATAATTTCTTAATTTGGGGTAGGGCAAGTTAGATGTTCGAACATTATACAGATTAAACGTGTAGAAAATGCATTTTATTTTTCACCCTCACAGAGTGTCTCATGCATGCATATTCACCCCCATGACTGGGATTTACTGTATGTTCACTTTATGTCTCCCGGTCTGCAGCACGACCAATTTCAAGAAAGTGTCCGTTTGGCTGTTGTGTATAGTTTTACTAGCATGCATGAGGAGGTACTGACGCTCGACATTTCCCAGGGGCTGTTCCAGTCATTTCTAAAAGGGGGTTCCAACCATATGTCCCTATTAAAAAGCATTGATCGTCAACAAAAGGGGGTTCCAACCCCCGGAACCCCCCTGGATCCGCCACTGATTCCTCTATGGTTAAAAGGTAGGGCGTAAACGACTGTAGTATGACTAAATTTCCATACATACTTCACATGCCTCCTTTTCCACTGTTAGTGTACATCTTTAAGAACCACATGTTTTCTCGTTCTGAATGTGCACCAAATATTAAGCAAATAACAATAAACTAATTAGTTAAAAAAATGTTAGATCTAAGTCAGTGTAAAAAGTCACTTCAGCTAAAAAACTAAAAATATATTCAATCTAAATTCAATTAAATATTACGCGATAATTTACATTGAGAATTAAGATGTTATTATGTTTAATCTATTTAATTGGTTGGCAACAACATTTTTACATTCTTGGCATAGATAACGAAAATTTAGAAAGCAAACTAAGTTGAGAAACCTAATTAATATTGTTTTCACTAAATTACAGAATTTTCTGGTTTTAACCCCTGACGAGACTTGGCATCAACTAATAGCCATGTGGATTAACGTAGTTCTTTGTTTACTATAATTGTGAAAGTTCGAAAAGTACAGACACTTTATATGTTGGCATGTAATACAGGTTGTAGGAATTAATAAAAGAGTAAGCAACATAAAAGAAAGACTCTCTCCTTTTCAAAAGTTAAAACTAAATGCATTTAGTCTATGGGTTGTTTTCACGTTTGAGGTCATATATTGTATTTAATCATTTGCAGTACCTCAGTAAAGATCGAAGAACCACTGATGATAATTTACATCAAGTGAATAATGATCACTTAAAGGAAACCACCAACATAAAACTAATATAAATATATTAGGTGGATTAAAAATGCATAAATTTATAATCTAATACATTACTTCGTGATCCAGGATCACAAAAGTCTTGATAAAGTTTAGTTCTCAGTTAATTAATTGTGATATATAGTTTCATTGTTATGCAAATATGGTTACACCTATAACATATATAAACCAGTCAATTGTACCCTATACACCGAACGACCCGGATATCAGTTATAGTATTGGTCAAATTGGATTTATTTCTGAATGATTAAAACTGAATCTTATTTCATAAAGCAGTTGTATAAAATTGGTCCCTCAAAATCCCAGAAAGCTAGAGAATATTGTTCAACCCCTTCATAGCAAATCTTCGTCAAAATTCTGAGACACTTTAGGCTCGTGTTGTATAAATTTCTGTTTCTTTATCCATCAACCCAATTTAAAATTTGTAACTACAACAATGCTGATTAAATATAAACTGTTTATGTTATTTTGTTTCAGGACTTTCAGTCAGAAATTGGATATTACTGCGTTTGAATATTCTAGGAAAGTACCAAGCATAAGAGATAAGGAACTTGGTCACTGTGTCAGCAAAGTAGAAGAATTGTTCCGCGGGTCACCAATAGAAAAGGGATGGTAATATGCGACATTATGCTTTACATATATCATTATTAGTGCTATAGTTTTAAAGTAAAAAGACCAGAAAGAATAACTTGACAAATCAGAAATTGCTTTAATTTGCATTATTATTCCAAATTAATGAAGTCTTGTAGACCCAAATTTAAAACAACAATCATTTTTACATTTAACATTTATTTCTCACTATTTCCTAGAAAAAAAGTTTACCTCCCAACTCATTGTTTTTCTATGACTATGCTACACATACACAGGATTTTTGAGGGAATATGACTCCTTTGTTAAAAATTAACTATCATTATATTTAGTATGACAATTCATTTCGATTGTCTTGAATACGAATGAACAAGTTTGCCGTTGAACGTTTATGGTTGCGAGGTTTCGCGATTTGTAAAAAAGATATCAGAAATCTCAACATCAGACGGGAAGCTAGGATTAAAACATGTCCTGAAAAAGCCCTGTTTTCACATTTCTTCGGAGAACTTTGCAGACTTTTTTAATCTCATTTATAATTTCCTCTACATTTTGAAGATGCATTGTTATAAAATTTATTTTTGGTATCTAGAGAAATTATTGTGTAATAGAATATTTTAAACAGATTCAAATATTAGGTAATTAGTCTGATTACACATGCGGAAAGGGCAGTGCTAATGAAAAACAGACATAAAATAAGAACTAGCACTTTCCTAACGTTAAAGTTATTATAGTTGAGAATAATCATTTACACACGAATTAACACGTTCTCATATTAATACAAATATTGAGATCAAAAGTTTCCAAGGTATATAATTAATTTCAGATGTTGCAGTATGATAAATGTACGCCATCGATTAACTTGTATCTAGACATTTTTATCCATTTTAATTCCAAATGAATAAACAGAGTTGTATGCAGTCAATGAGACAAACACTCAACAACACAATAATGCCTAAAGACATATACAGAATTCAGTACACTGTCTCCACAGAAAGGACAGACATGTGAATAAACAATGTGTCAAAGACATATACAGAATTCAGTACACTGTCTCCACAGAAAGGACAGACATGTGAATAAACAATGTGTCAAACCCTCACCCCGAGTCTAAAAAATGGTATATCAAGACTATCACAGGTCTGCCATTAACGCTTAATAACAAAAACACCATAACGATATAACAAATACGACCATTGACGAGGTTCCATTCAGACTTTGGACAGACACATGACCATGTTGTGGGGTTAAACTGGTGTCTTTAGCACTCAACCACCTTAGTTACATGAAAAACCGCGTAATTCTGTTATCCAGTGGATGTCGTAAGTTGTTGCCTAAAATATTAAACCTATTACGGAAAGTTTTATTTAAGTACAAAGTTGTATTTTTATTTCAAATACATGTCTCTATTCGTTATGAGGTTAATGCTTATATAGTCTTGTAATCTGACATATACAACTTATTTTAAACAGTACTCTTCCGCCGAAAAGAGGGTCTACAAGGTACGTGTCCAAAGAACTAAATGACACCAGGAACTTTGAAGTACAAAACCACAACGATGTTTTTGTGTGTATGGGATTATGTGATGGTCATGCGTCCTCTGTTCTCGGCTTGCTTCATACCGGAGATTGTTTGGCGGTACGTACGTTATTATTACGAGTAGTATTAGAAGATATATCCCCATCTTTATTGCAGATTTTGGTGTAGAAAGAGATTTTTAAAGTGCTTATATTTAAAACCTCCTTTTGGTAGTCCATTCATTCCTGTATATATTAACACAAGCCGGAGTACAGTTTTTATAAGTTATCTTCTTTATTCAATAATTTAAAGGTTTTGTATTTTCGTCTATTAGTATTTGATGATTCCACATAGATTCCTATCTTTGACCAAAGGGAGACTTTCGGAATGGAGATAACTACCCAACCCACAAACAAAAAACCCTGGAGATATTTGAAAGGCAAAGTTAAATGTTCAACATTATAGACGTATACCAAACGGTAACCTCTAAAACGCTCTAGACAAATCAAGTGGTTAATAAAGCGACTATTTTCAATTAACACTAACTTCTTAAAAGATAAAAAGAGACATGACTTGGATTAACTTGCTCTCTGGGTACACGAAAAACGATCAATTTTCAAATGATGCCAGCCTGCAGTTACTTAAATCAACCTCCAAAATTTGTGTATCTTTTGTCAGTCTTATTTCAAGTTTAATAAGATATATGCTATCAAACATAGTCATCAAACATTGACTTTTCAATAAGAGAATATCTTCTAGAAGGCAGAACGTGTAAAATTCTAAAAATATTTCAGAGATAAGTGTCGGTGAATTAACTGAAACTAAATTAGGAAGGCTAATTGAATTTTTAAATGTTCACAGGTTGAAATTGCAGGAAAGCTAACGTTTGGTCCAAAGACATTTATTAAAGCATATGTAGAATATTACCGAAGTGGGATAGATTTTCTCCAAACAGATGGAGTTTCTCCACAAGAATTGCAGCAATATTATAATGGGAACTTCTTCCTCCGAGATAGAAGTTACGGGACTATGGAAGTAATAATTTTAGAGATGAGATATGCAAAGAAGAAACAGGTCGAGACACTAAGGAGGAACCAAGGACACTTTCAGCGTTTGTCATCATTTATAGAACACGCAGTCCGTGATGTTGGGAAGCCTTCATCAATAAAGGTATACAATGAATATGCATCTTTACATAGCAATAGAATAAATGTGAAGACAATTTTGATATATTTTATTTTCTTTAAATTTTAATAAAATTTGGCATCAAAGGACAAAGAAAACCCAAATAAATAATTTTGTATCTGAAAGCATGGGAGGGTTTGTATTTACTTTTGATAAAAACTCAGGTCAAATTCGATCAGAATTGCAGTTTAAAACCTTGTAAAACCATTTATATTTTGTTTACGTGTTAAAACATATGACATCATGTTGTCAACACGCCAAAGAACATAGACGAAGCTGTAATACTGTGAATCATGGTACAGATGGAAAAACTTAAAGTCTGTCGTAATTCCTTAATCCTCAACAGTGCTGCTCACATACAAATATACAAAACCTGAAAATATGATAAAGTAATCTGTTTGAGAATTGATGTAAACAAGTGAATTATATACTAGTATTTACATCCGTAAAGCATTCAATGCATTTTTTAAAATTTTAACAGCTCGTCAGATTATCAACTGCGAAAGAATTATTGGAGCTTCTACGGTACAAGAGTAGGAAATTGGATGATGTGTATTCTAAATTACGTCAGTATGAATCAGATATATACCATACTCGTGAAGACATCAAACGACAACATATTAAACCTCATCTCAGATATGGAATGTACCCTTATACTCATGGTCGTAAGTTCAGTTATTTCTGTTGTAGCTTAATAACTGGCCTGCTTACATTAATGTACAATGTATATGTCTTTTTGTTGTTATTTGTGTCCCGTTTTTTTTTTTATAAAACATTCTATATGTATATTATTCAGCACAGTTTATTAGAGTTCACCCCCGGCTTACATAATCACCATTATGGCATACGGGGATTAATACGTGCAGTATATTTTCCCTCTTGGAATGTCAGTGATCTTTTGTCATTACCTATACAGTCCTAGTCTAGCAGCTACTTTTGCCGCGGAAAATCGATCTGTTTAACAAGTTTGTCTCATTCACGGGTACTTTTTTTATTGAGATGTTTAGTCACCCTTTTCAAGGTTTTTTTACTATACCGTAAAAAAACGCTAAAATGATTTAAATAAGAATTTATCAATCCAACCCAATATTTGCAGAAGAAATTACTTGCAGTCTAATTGGTAGTTTCTACTCGCAGAGTCTCTATTTAATCTGCAGAGAATAGTTATACAATATAAATGTCGTTTATTCAGTGCATTTAAATTTGTATTTGTAAAATTTACTTGTTATATAAAGACTATTAAAGTGTACAGTTGCTAACAGTACTGTTCCAGTACATTTTTTTTGTCGGTACGGTATTTTCCATTGCTGTACTGAAATACTGTTTTATCATAAATTTATAAATACAAATATTGGTGAGTTGTAGAGTATGCTTTTAAAAGCTGACTAACTTTCACTACCTGCAAAAAAATCCAGATGCCAATTTTAAAGTGCATGTAAACATTTTGAGTCTTTCATTCACCATATTACCAGTCGGATTTGCTTCGTGCAACCCGACCTCAAACCAAAACTTAAACAGTAAGAAAACTGATCACTCGAGAATCCACTGCAGAAAGTCAGTTCTTAAAAATGACCTAAGGAATATAATGTTGAAGAGAACCGAAAAATATACTGAAAATATGAAAATAACTGCATTCATAATTGTACAAATGTGAGTTATAGAAGTAATGAAGCAACAGAAATTATAACATTACATTTTTTATGGTAGTACTATTTCATACAAATCTAATAGAGGGTGGAGGGTATGTTTGTCATGCAAGTTGTAATTGACTGTTGTAGTAAGTGTTTGTTCCATGTTGTAAGTTTGAAATGACTGTATGTTCTTATTTCATCTTCTGATTTTGTTTGAGTGAAACATAGTATACAGATTTGTAAAAAGAAAAAAAAGAAAAAAAGCCACGTGTGTAAAGTTGCAACAGTAACCAAATGTAGAGTTACATTCAAGTAACTTGTACTTATTAGTAGGGTCGTATTTAATTAGAATATATCCATTTCTTTACTTGCCTTACACGATGATTACCTATGTATATATAACAAGGTAAACTTAAGTTACATGGCTTTTGCTCATAGTTGAAGGTCGTACAGTGAGCTGTAGTTGTTTACAACCCGCCATTTGGTCTTTTGATGGGTAGTTGTTTCTTTCGCATTCATACCACATCTCCTTATTTTTATATTAAAGTTATCTGAAGTAATGTTGGTAGAGTATCACACTTGGAATAACCATATATTATCTTTCTTCAAACAAATCTAAACCTTAAAGTGGCAAAGATTAACAAAATTTCTCCTGCAGAATAGATCTTTCTGTTGGAATATGTTTTAAAAGATGCGTTTTACATTTCAGCTTTTACCGTATATAATTTATCGTCAAATTCAAAGCATTTATTTATCACTATTTTTTGTATTGATGACTTAATTTGCAAAGTAAGATAAAAGCAATAATAATCCTCACAAATGTTTGACCCTTTGACCTGGTTCCAAGACCAAATAACATTGGCCGTGTTTTTGATATTTTTGCACCTGCTTAACATTGATTAACTTGACATTAATCGAACAAGACCTATTATACAAAAAGGTCAAACTGGACATACAAAATGTATTTCGTAAAATTGTTGCAGACAGGCCTTGTCAGTTATAAAAAAAAACAATTTATAGACTGCCCCGGCATATGCGTCTTTTAAAAATAAAGCGTGGTTATTTCTAAAGAATATCAAAATAAGAGTAACTCGAACTGTAAGGTGTACACACATAACCTTCTATTAAAGCAGCAATAAAAGCACCTTTTCTTTAATACATTGTTAGGTACTAGTACTTCGTGATATTGTTTTCTCATGTTCTGACCCTTTATCCCTTTCCAACTAAAACCTAACTAGATATATAAACATTTTGTAGAAGAAAAACTTGGAACAACTGCAAACCCTAGAGAAACAACAAATTTTAACCGTATGTTTTCTGACGGCCCTAAATTTGAAAAATGCTCGGATGGTGAGTAATTCAATTTTAACAAATATGCGTTTTAACTAGATTATTAAATTTCCCTCTATGCAGAGCTTTTTGATTTTGTTTAAAAAAAAAAAGAGAACTAAACGTTCATGATTCAAATATAACTTCAACAAAACATAAATTGCATGTATATATTCAATACATATATAAATGATAAATGAACTCCACTAGTTGTCAAGAATATTTTGTAAAATTTTTTACAAAAATGTATTTCCTTAAACAAAATCAGAAAAGGAAATGTAGCTATATGTTGTGTCTATGCATAATGTATATATACAAGTATAATTCTGTTGATATAAGATACTGACTTGTTAAAACTATTTTATATGTTGTATTGCATGTATGAAGCATGCTAAGTTATATTTCATATAAAGTATGCTGTGACATTAAGGTGAAAATCACGTCTAGTCTTTTGTAAAAAGGTCAGAAATAGTCTCTTATGTAATCGTCAATAGATGGGGGTTTAAGAGAAAGTCGATAAAAAAACCAACCTAAACGAGAATCCATAAAACACTGCACTGAAAACAAAATTGAGCAACGCCAACCTCCGGTGCTTAAGAAGGGTAAGTAAATCCTGCTTCAATAGTGGTATTGGTCTGTTTCCTCTTGGAACATATCTGTGTCATATTGAGTGATTGATTGTTGTTTGCTTTACGCGGCCTCAGCACAAAATAGCTAGAAAACAAATCCGGGTAACAAACTAAAACCGAGGGAAGCACATCAACTATAAGAGGAAAACAACGGAACAACAGAAACACCGAAGTGCAACAAAAACAAACGCCAACATACATAGAAACGAACTATTTGATAACAACTGCCATATTCCTGACTTGGTACAGGACATTTTAAGAAAAAATGGTGGGTTGAACCTGGTTTTATTGCTAACCAAACCTTATGTTTACGTTTCTGTATATTTTTGTACAAAATAAGTTATGTGTTAAATGCAACTTAACCTCCAATTAATGTAATTTTATAATAATTTTCAGGTGCTTCACTACGATCTACGGACCACTTAAAATGGGAAAAGGCCTGCTTGTCTGAAGTAAAAGTAGACACAGCTCTTAGGAGACAAAGGAGATTAGTCAAAAAGGTATGTGAATTAAAATAATGATATAGAAAACGTCTATTTTGATGAAAGATTTTTGGCTGAATTGCAAGCAGATATAATTGCATGGCAAAGTAGGTATCTATAAAATATGGAGATGTGATTTGATTACTCGACATGGTAAACGAGACAAGTCTACCTTTATAGATTCAAACCCAAACTAAATCTGAAAGACTTTAAAGGATTGGCACAAGCATAAAGTTGTTCTTCTTGTATCGTAAAATTTAAAGAAAACATTTTCCGATAAACTGTATGTAATTTACTTTAAACTAAAAACGAAACAAATGATTCAAATAGCTGTGTAATCATTCCGAGCATTTCATGTCTGTTATCCTTGATTTAATTTCATTTGACTATGCATACATACTGAAGGTGTGCAACAGTGTTTTACATTTTCAATAGAGGTTATATTGATTTTCTGTAAACAGGTTCTTAATTATTTAAGTTCATATACTTTTTTTAGAATGTTAGCATCTCAAATTAAGGAATCTTCTATAGACATTTCTACAATTCTTTTTCAAATAGTGATATTTGAAAAAAAATACGAATGTTGCTATCTTGGTTCTTAACCCCCCTCCCCTTTTCTCAATATTATCGATATTATGTGTTACATGGTTTGCTTCAACATTAAATTTGTTAATGAATTGTAAGTGTGCACCATACATTAGGGAAATGTTCAAAATATATCTATTAAATAATTGATACTTTGGAACTTTTTCAGAAAAAAATCTAAAAGAGTACTATTATGTACATTTGATATTTTATAAGTGATACCTCAAAAGCGTTAATTTGTATGGCCTATTCTGCAATGTGATACTAAATTGGCTATTCATTAGCTTAATGATGGCAAGCAAAGGTCATTACAATCTTCTTTTCTTTTGATGACGGATTTAAGTGATTTCTACTAGTAATAAACAAAATACCCACCTTTTCACCTGTAATATCTTCTTTTTGTCAAATTTTATTAAATTCTGAAGTCACATAAAGCCTTAAAATGTCTGATAATTCGTTGACCAAAGACAAGAACAATGTTTAATATTTGTATTTGATTTCACATTTTAGTGCAACAAAATGCCAGTTGAACAATGTGTTAGTCTTTCAAAGATAAAGAAAAGTTTGAAAAAGGTTAAAGCTGATATTCATTTACAAAGATCAAAATGGCATCTAGTCATAAACTCAGCAGAAGAGAAAACAAACTTAGCAAACAAAGAAACAAGACGGCTGTCCAAACAGCTCGGTACTATCGGTAAGAAGATAAAAGAACTGACAAGAATTAAACAAAAAGAAAGAAATAGTAGAAAAACAGGAAGAAAACCAAGGCGAAGGAGAAAACAGTGAATAAAAGTGATAACCTTCAAAATGGTTTGTTATGTCAAAAAATAAATGTATTTATGAATATCATTGCTTCCCAGTCAATATGAATTGGCTGAAGGGACCAACATGTGTGAATTATATAGATACTGTACTAAATACATTTATGTGAGAATTTATGAACTTTATATTCACTATATAAATAAAGTATTTGAATATGTGACAAATATTTCAAGATCCCATGGGTATTATACCTTTAATAAAGTGATGATTTTACTGAACTCTGCAAGGGAAAGACACTAGACAAGATGTCTAACAATGACCACTACAAGACTTAATTCTATCATAAAAAGATTGTACATACGAGTAAAATAAAATCTTTCAGAATATTCATTGGTTAAATGATTATATATTGTAAAACATTTAAGCTATGTACTGTTGAGGTAGAAATAAAATAAATTAATTCAACATATTTTAGTGGTCTTACTTTCACTAGTAATATTCCATGTATATTGGCATGTCCACCAGTTGATTTCTGTCGAATTTTACTATGTTGTTACACACATCATTATCATTGTAATTAAAACAAGCCTGAGTCTCCCACCTGTCATAAATTGAAATAATAGACAAAAAGTAGAATAAATTGTCAATAGATTATTGCCACAGAGATATGTCTAACCCAAGGCCTTCTGAAGTGGGGTGCGTCGGGTGCCATTGCACCCCTCTTTAAAACAAAAAAAAATATAATAATAATTTTCAGGCACGGATGAGCACTTCCACGGGTTACCGTGATCATGCTGCCACAGAATAGGACACCTATGATACAGTTTGAGAGATCATCTTTGTTATTATTTATAGAATCTGTCATCATATGAATGAAATTGTAAAGTTGACTTTGAACGTTACCACTGTTAATATATTGATTTAAGCCAATAATATATTGAAATAAATAGTACCTTCAGTGCGATCTATGGTTTATACGTTTTCCTCAAGTAAATTTCAGCCAAATAACCGTTTTAAAGCGTGTTGGAGAGTATGGATATTCATGTATTTGACGTTCTTAAACGCATATAACCCTGAAATTGGCTTACTCATTTTCAAAAAAAATCTAAACTGTGGGAGGGGAGAGCCCCTCCAACATCCCCTCTTTAGAAAACCTTCCAACGGCCCTGTAACCAAAACACAAACTTTCACCTGTAAACAATATAAAAGTTTCATAGTCAATGAACCATGATGAGGGGTTGGGGCTATATAATCGCCATGGAAAAAGAGACTTGCAAATGCTAATACAACTGCATACCGAATATCATTGACTTAATGTTAGTGATTCCTCTTAAACTGACCCAATTACAAACTAATACATGTAAAGTAAGCAAAAGTTTCAGTCAATAGACCATGACTTCAGGGTGATGCCAAATAATCTCCATGCAAATGAGATGTGCCAACGCTAATACATCTACATACAAAAAGTCATTGATCAACCACTAATGGTTCCCCTTAAACTGACCTAGTCACAAACTAATACATTGTTTACGCCAACGGAAACATCATGCCTAAGTCTTACTTTTTGATACAGCTAAGGTGAGACAAAATTCATTATTTAAGGGTAAAAATTCCTATAGGGATTCATCCAGTGGTTTCTGTCATATTGGAATTTTTGTAGATCTTGTAGTGCTGATTTGAGTTTGTACCTTTCTATTATATTTTTTGAAATAATAGGCAAAAACTCAAAAAATTGTCAAAATTGTCATTAAAGGGCAATAACTACTACAAGAAGTAATTTAATTGTTTTGATAATACAGTATTTTGTATATCTTGTTTCTCTAATTCTTAACTGATTTATCCTTTTCCTGACTCGTTGATTATTTTTATGTAACCAACATGTGGTTTGTTTGATTTTGGTTCTTCATTGGTCACCGTCAAATTCAATTATGACATCAAATTTTCTTGCTTTCCTCTGAATTTCCTATTGTGACGACAGTCACGAAAAAAGGCAACCATGAAAGAACACATCTTTTTGCAGATCATCGGAATTTTGTCTGCTTATCATTCAAAAATCATTAGAGACATAGATTCTTCCACCAAATCTCGTGCATTACGGTATTTCTCCTCTCTCGACAGTTAAATTTAAAATATTTAACTGTCTCTAGTGCATAAATATCGTATGACACTCAATGTAGTGGTAGAATCTATATATAACTGATCATGGTTTATACTCGTCTATTATAGTTTTCAAGATAATAGTTAAAAACTTCTAAATTAGTCAAAAATCACAATTATAGGGGTAACCTGATAATATTAGAGGAAAAAGGACATTCTGAGCATTGTTGAACTTGTCAGATTTTTTCTATCTAATATGGTTTTCAAGATATGAAAATAAATGCATTTTACCCTAATGTTGTTTTCAGCCATGGCAGCAATGTTGGTTGATTGGCAGGGGAAAAAACACAAACTTTACAATGTAATATCTACCTTATGAATCATTAGTTTTAAACTAAATTGGTTGAAATTGGTCCTGTTGTTTCCGAGGAAAAGATTTTTGAAAAAGTTTACAATGATGACCACAGACCATGAAAATCAATGAATAACATTGTCCTTATGGAATAAATGTTATAGTAAATGTTTCTACTTTGATAGAAAATGTTTTTACAAAACAAGAGTACAGACTGAAATGTGTGGCCAGTCTTTAAGATCAACTACAGGTCTTACATAGACTTCACCTTATCAATGATCCATGAAAATGAGGTCAAAGTCAAATGAACCTTGTAAGAGGGGCACCTAACAATCATTCTATACACCATATATAGCTGATCTATTACAGTATCTAAAGAATAGACTTAATAACAAAACCTATCATTGACCAATGAATCATGAAAATGCAGATGAACCCTACCAGACACGCATGTGCACCTTACAATCATTATATACAAAAAAATATATAGCTGACCTATTGCTTATAGTATCTGAGGACCAGACTCAATAACAAAACTTAACATTGACCAATGAATCATGAAAATGAAGATGAACCCTAACAGAAAAACATGTGCACCTTACAATCATTCAATAAAACAATATATAGTTGGACTATTGGTTATAGTATCTGAGAAAGGGATATCAGTATGACAGTTTAATATTGACAAATTAAAGATGAAAATGTGATCAAGTTCAAGGGAAACCTGCCAGACAGACATTGACACCTTACAATCATTCAATAATCATATTCATGCAGAGTTTGACAGGACCATGGTTTCAGTTGGAATATGTACTTATCCACAATGTTAATTTGTTCAATAAGAAGGATTAATACCATACATATAGTAAAGTAATGTCATTGTTTAAGTCAATGTTGGCACATCAATTGTTAAAAAGGTACCTGATCACAAAGTCCTATGAACAAATGCATGGAGTATGAATTCTGCTTTGTACTACATACTAACTCATTGAGTAATTGTTGTCCACATAACCTTGTCTGGATACATTATTCTGACTCTGAGCTGACCAGTCTATGGTCCAACTCCTAAATGTTGCATCCTTGGCAAGAAAAGCAGCAATTACATATGTCCTGAGTTTGACGTAGTCCAGGGTTAAACCACTCAGAGGAACATGCTACCAACAAGCAGTCCAAATGCTAAAATCATGCGGAGAACCTTTAAGGTGGTACCCAACACCTTGACTAATATTAATTTGGCTTGTTTAATATTCCTAAAATTTTGACAAAATGTTTACTTTGACCCTTTGACAAAAATATAAAAATTTCAAATAATTTGAACCAAACACTTTATCAGAAAAATTTCACTGGTTATATAGCAGTTTGACAAACACTAATTTTGATCATTGAGAAGCTTAATATTTCCTTAACAATACAACATGATAAAAACGTTAAGTTGATTTTTACAGAGTTATCTCCCTGTAGTGTTAGGTACCACCTTAAAGTGATGCACATAATAAATACTCAACTTCTGACAAAACACACACCATTCACTCTCATAACTAGAGGCTCTGTGTCGCTCACTTGGTCTATATGCATATTCAACAAAGGACACTCTCCAACATTGTAGACGAGAATAGAATTAAAAACAAAAATCTCCGTTTTTTTTTTTTATCTTATGTTGCTGATCATTGAAGTCTGTTTAGTTTCTTCTCTATCTTATTTAGCTTTTGCTCCAAACACAAAAGAGGGTAAATAAGGGCAATAACTCCTATAAAGAGTAACAGTCTACTAATTATATCGGCAAAATTTGACTTGTTAGTAGGTCTTGTCTTGCTTATCAATTTTGATTATTTAAGTTTCTATCTATCTATTATAATTTTTAACATATAAGGCAAAACGCAAAAAAAATGGTAAAAATCATCATTAAAGGGCAATAATTCCAATAAGGAGTCTTCAGACATTTCCTGCCATTTGTCTTAATTGTAGATTTTGTCTTGCTGATCATTTTTGTTTATTTAAGTTTCTTTCTTACTATCATAAGTTTTAAGATATGGGTCATTTTCAAAAAATGTCGAATTTTGAAATTGAAAAATTTATTCAAAGTTACTTATTCAAACAACCCTCTACATAAGCAAATCAAAACAAACAGTACTTAAAGAACAACATGTTAAAAGATGCAATCTTAATAATGTCATACAAGAATATCTTGAAACATTTTTTGATAGGTGGTACAATATTTTGTCTCTCCTGTTACCATTTTCAAAAGAAATTTTGGGTTATTAAGAAAAGGTTTAGATAAAATGTTAAGCTTGTTTTACGTAGCCAAATAGATGGTTTTCAAGAGAATAAACTTCTATATATATTCATTCTGTAAAATAGTAGATTATTTGCCAATTTTCCAGGTTGTACTGAAAAATGCCTCTAAAAATTGGTTTTCAAAGGTTGTAAAAATTACCACCAGTAATGCAAGTCTAAGATAGCAATTCATATTGTTCGGCTTTTTTTTCTCTCTTTCAAATAAACCCAACATCAAGTAAATTCTTCACAAGTTAGTTTACTTTTCTCTTTATTTCATTGGTAACAGGAACGTACGTTTATGATATGTCACTATATAAAAGTCTATCCTGTTACCTTTTTGTCTATCCTGTTACCGATATCAGTATTGCACCTGCAAATGCTTAATTGGGAAGAATAAGACGTTATAACTTTAAGATGAGTTCAAACATCGAAATATTTCATTCGTTTTGCAACTATATGTTAAGATAATTTATTTAACGACGTTTCTGTCTACAATTGTCTATCCTGTTACTGTAACCATAGCAACCATAGTAACAGGATAGACATAACAGGATAGACAAATCTCTTCATTTTTGAATGCTGTTGTGAAATGACTACTCCCTTTGGTGAAGTGATTATGGTTTTCTGTTGTGAATTTGATTTCCAACACGATATTGCACTTTTTACAAGTATACTGTTGGTGTAATTAATCAAAATTGTTGGTAACAGCAAAGACATGAAAAAAAGTACCCTCTATTTTTTTTCACTAAATGTCTTAAAATTTCTTTTCTCTACACTGTCGTACAAGAAACGTGGTGTTTTAAATGTAAAGGTAACTTTGAACTCTTGAAATCAACATTGACTGATTCGATATTCATAGGGAGAACAATATCACGGCTGATTTAAGTAGCGGTAACAGGATGGACATGAACCTCCCGTACGCTGATTGAATTTAGTTTGTAGATAATATGTTACATATAATGATTAAGAAGCTACGATTTTTAGTTAGAGTAATTATTAACATCCTTAAAAAGTCCCTTTTGCAGATATCAAGGCGATCAGAAAATCGGGAAAAAATCATTTGCAATGTGTTTTTCTGACACTGTACGCACACAAATACCCCCAAAATCGGACTTAAATACATTTTAATCTTATCAAAATAGATGTAAATCGTGTTTATTATCGATGTTCTGAATCATAAATCCGACAAGCTTTCATTTAAACCATTACAACTGAAATTTCCATTAGAAATACACATTTTAGCATGGGTGTACTGAAAATTCGACATTTTTTTAAAATGACCCATATAAGACAAAAACGCAAAAAAAATTGTACAAATCGTCATCAAAGGTCAATAACTCTAATAAGGAGTCAACTTAGGACTTATTTGTATGACTTGTCCTGATCATTTTTGCAATTTAAAGTTTCTCTCTATCTATTATAGTTTTCAAGATAATAGGCAAAAATGAAAAAAAAAAAGTTGTAAAATTTGTCACTCCTACAGGAAATCGTCTGACAGTTTTGATGTATATCGACAAATGGTAGAGCTCAACATTCTGAACAATTTTACCCGTTTCAGATTTCCTCTATTTATAATGGTAATCAGAATAATTGACAAAAGTTGCATTTTACCCCATATGTTCTATTTACAGCCACGTCCGCCATTTTTGTTGGCAGGCAGGGTCATCACATTTTTTAAACTAAATACCCTAGTGATGATTGTGGCCAAGTTCGATTCTATTTGGCCCAGTAGTTTCAGAGGAGAAGATTTTTGTAAAAGATTATAAAAATTTACGAAAAATTGTTAAAAATTGACTATAAAGGGCAATAACTCCTTAAGGGGTCAATTGACAATTTTGGTAATCGTTAACTTATCTGTAATTCTTACTTTGCCGAACATTATTGCTGTTTACAATTTATATCCATCTATAATAATATTCAAGATAATAACCAAAAACTGCAAAATTCCCTTAAAATTACTAATTCAGGGGCAGAAACCCAACAAAGGGTTGTCTGATTCATCTGAAAATTTCAGGGCAGATAGATCTTAACCTGATGAACATTTTTTCCCCGGTGTCAGATTTGCTCTAAATGCTTTAGTTTCAGAGATATAAACCAAAAACTGCATTTTACCCTATGTTCTATTTTTAGCCATATCTGCTATCTTGATTGGCGGGCGGGATCATCGGACACATTTTTTAAACTAGATACCCCAATGATGATTGTGGCCATGTTTGGTTAAATTTGGCCTAATAGTTTCAGAGGAGAAGATTTTTTTAAAAGTTAACAGACGACGACGGACGCCAAGTGATGAGAAAAGCTCACTTGGCCCTTTGGGCCAGGTAGCTAAAAATGTTATATATCTGTGTAGGAAAAAAAGAGGTGCATTTCTTTTATTTAAAGAGAGGCAAAATAATAACTTCCATATAATATCATTTTAATAAAGTCAGTTTAACAATGTAAACTTAACAATGTAATATTATCAACATCTCATGAAAAAAGTAAAAACCACAGTAGACATTCTTAAAATTTATCAGAGCATCCAAAATATTTATTTTACTTCTCCCAACTTTTTAACAATTAGACATTCTATAATCCACTTTTATAGTTATATGCAATCAGTATCATGTCTATGAAACAAAAACAAAACAAAACATTTGGCTGACAACACAAGAATCTTGTTATTAATTTCCTCAACATTTGTTTTAATGTGATTCACATACAAAGAACAGAACTAAGATTTTATCTTTTAAAATTGCTATAAAACAATAAAATGGATATTTTAACCAACAATTTAAAACTGAAGAAAAATATATTTTCCTCTACCACTATTTATCAATGAATATTAAAAGTCTTGAAATGAAAGAATACAAAAAGAAACATATAGAGAATATAACATTATAATTACATAATCTTTATATTTGAAGAACAAATACACACAACTGTACAGCAATATAGGAGGGCTCTTCCAAAGTGATGTATTTGACACCAATCACTATAAGAAACATAAAACTGACACAGTCTTAACAAACATTAATCATCACTGGGCTTTAACATAAACATGATTCTTTAATACATTTTATGTATGTATATAAATATATAAATATCATTTAAAAACTCAAGACCATTCTGTGTGCAAGAATAGGGGAGCATCAGAAGGAACATAAAATCTAATCGATGCTGGTGGTTTGTATTAAACAATGCAAAAAATTAAGGCAATATCTTGAATTGAATCTGATCTACTTATGTTCCTAATTGTAAGCAGAACAGATAGACCGCTTTCTGCAACCTATGTAATTTTGATAAAACTTTTCTTGGTCATGGCAAACTTATCTACGAGTTGTGGTCCGATTCACAGAAAAACAGTTGATACTATATATATATATATGGTACATCCACATTCATCAAAAAGTTCCTCTGATAACTCCTTTCATTCATTTCTGGAACAGCTCTCACAAGAGTGCATATAAAATTGATTAGTTCAGTAGCTATATATAGTAATCTCTAAAAATCTTTAATGTTTCCATTCCATGAGCTTCATAGGTATTTCAACACTGACATCATTTTAAAAATGCATTTAGCGTTTGCTAACAAAAGTCTTGTAATCAATTTTGATTAAGATTCAATTAATGTTTTTTTACAATTGCAAGAAATTAGAAATAATTAGCAGATACAATTTTAAATTCAGATTACAACAGAGCACCAATCCTCCGCCACATGTGTATTGTAGTCCCTTAACTAAGTCCTCCCTTTTCTCATTTAAAGTTACGGTTTAATCTCCTTCAACAGCATGTGTATAGTATTTTATTAAATGTGTCCTCCCTTTGTTGATTTAAAGCTTTAATTACAAGATTTCACTATCGCATCCTAATTGTTATTAAAGTGTTTCCTCCATCTAGAGCCTCCTGAGCAGGTGAAGTCCTTCGAACATAATGCCCATCTTTATCTCCATTTGAAATCATATCAAATTTTCTTAACTATATTAAGTTAAGTCCAAATGTATAAAATTATATTGCAACATTAAAATTGAGATCATCTATTTTGTAAATAATATCAAGCATTCCTCAACTCTGTTCTTTAGTTGATTTATCCCTAAAAAAAAAGAAAAACACATTATTTTTTCATTTCGCTTGGACTCCTGAAGGATATTGTAACAAGCCAATAATTGAAATAAATATTTGATTATGTTGTTAAAAAAAAAAAAACATTTCTCAAGTAACCCAGAAAAAAAAATATAACACAATGGGTATAAAAAAAAGAACATAAATATATTTCCATTTATGAACATACATTAATATCTGACTGACATACATATAACATCTGACTGACATACATATAACATCTGACTGACATACATATAACATCTGACTGACATACATTAACATCTGACTGACAAACATATAACATCTGACTGACATGCATTAACATCTGACTGACATACATATAACATCTGACTGACATGCATTAACATCTGACTGACATACATTAACATCTGACTGACAAACATATAACATCTGACTGACATATATATAACATCTGACTGACATACATTAATATCTGACTGACATACATATAACATCTGACTGACATACATATAACATCTGACTGACATGCATTAACATCTGACTGACATACATTAACATCTGACTGACAAACATATAATATCTGACTGACATACATATAACATCTGAATGATATATATATAATATCTGACTGACATACATATAACATCTGACTGATATACATATAACATCTGACTGACATGCATTAACATCTGACTGACATACATTAACATCTGACTGACAAACATATAATATCTGAATGACATACATATAACATCTGACTGACATACATATAACATCTGACTGACATGCATCAACATCTGACTGACATACATTAAAATCTGACTGACAAACATATAACATCTGACTGACATACATATAACATCTGATTGACATACATTAACATCTGACTGACATACATTAACATCTAACTGACATACATATAAGACATACATTAACATTTGACTGACATACATATAACATCTGACTGACATACATATAATATCTGACTGACATACATATAACATCTGACTGACATACATGTAACATCTGACTGACATACATGTAACATCTGACTGACATACATATAACATCTGACTGACATACATTAATATCTGACTGACATACATATAAGACATACATTAACATTTGACTGACATACATATAACATCTGACTGACATACATGTAACATCTGACTGACATACATATAATATCTGACTGACATACATATAACATCTGACTGACATATATATAACATCTGACTGACATACATTAATATCTGACTGACATACATATAACATCTGACTGACATACATATAACATCTGACTGACATACATTAATATCTGACTGACATACATATAAGACATACATTAACATTTGACTGACATACATATAACATCTGACTGACATACATGTAACATCTGACTGACATACATATAATATCTGACTGACATACATATAACATCTGACTGACATATATATAACATCTGACTGACAAACATTAATATCTGACTGACATACATATAACATCTGACTGACATACATATAACATCTGACTGACATGCATTAACATCTGACTGACATACATTAACATCTGACTGACAAACATATAATATCTGACTGACATACATATAACATCTGACTGATATACATATAACATCTGACTGACATGCATCAACATCTGACTGACATACATTAACATCTGACTGACAAACATATAACATCTGACTGACATACATATAACATCTGATTCACATACATTAACACCTGACTGACATACATTAACATCTGACTGACATACATATAAGACATACATTAACATTTGACTGACATACATATAACATCTGACTGACATACATATAACATCTGACTGACATACATATAACATCTGACTGACATACATACAACATCTGACTGACATACATATAACATCTGACTGACATATATATAACATCTGACTGACATACATATAAGACATACATTAACATTTGACTGACATACATATAACATCTGACTGACATACATATAACATCTAACTGACATGCATATAATATCTGACTGACATACATATAACATCTGACTGACATACATATAACATCTGACTGACATACATTAACATCTGACTGACAAACATATAACATCTGACTGACATGCATTAACATCTGACTGACATACATATAACATCTGACTGACATGCATTAACATCTGACTGACATACATTAACATCTGACTGACAAACATATAACATCTGACTGACATATATATAACATCTGACTGACATACATTAACATCTGACTGACATACATATAACATCTAACTGACATGCATATAATATCTGACTGACATACATATAACATCTGACTGACATACATATAACATCTGACTGACATGCATTAACATCTGACTGACATACATATAACATCTGACTGACATACATGTAACATCTGACTGACATACATATAACATCTGACTGACATGCATTAACATCTGACTGACATACATATAACATCTGACTGACATGCATTAACATCTGACTGACATAAATATAACATCTGACTGAAATACATATAACATCTGACTGACATACATTTACATCTGACTGACAAACATATAAGACATACATTAACATTTAACTGACATACATATAACAAGTATGATACTAACCAATATGTAGATTTTTTTAATTACCAACTCTTACGTACCAATTAAGAAAGCAATGATAGGATGTGTGTGTGTGTATGCTACATACATGTATGTCTTTGTGTACTTTGTAAAACAGGGCCCAGCTGAATTTTCAAAAATTTCCCAGTAATCTTCCAATCAAAGGGTGAATGTGCTGAAAAGGCAGTTACCTACAGGATTTATGATCGTATAGCCAGGATTGATTATAATCAAACATATTACTTTTCAGGAAAGGCTAACAACATCAGATATTTAGACATTTTTCAATTATTATGGCATGGAAATGATAATTCTACATTGCATTTCCAAAGAACATATTATTGTATGAGTACCTATATTAACGCACAAATATCTTTTAATATAAAATTTTACCGTCTACAGAGCAACTTAGGATTGACTTTTTCTACAAACAAATTGATTTTTTGCTTTATATTCAACAAAGTGCAATTGAATATTTAGGGTAAATTTTAGTTTTCACCATTAGTGGTTATTCACATTGAGTTTAATAACTCAATGTTTTTGAGATAAACATTGAGTTATAATGATACATCTCTAAGTGTCCACTTCAAAGGAAATCGTTTTTCTTCAAAAAATTATTCCGAGCAAAAAATTAAATAATTCCGAGTATAAATCCAAGAAAAGACCATGCCAGGTCACCAATTATTGTTTTTGATTTTCTACGTCTATATCTGAGAAAGCATGATGCTACCATATTTTTGTTACATCATGTATGTAATATAAAAATAATGCAACTCTTATCAAAAATTTTGAAAACTTACAAAACACCGTTCTTTACTTCACAATGTCAATGAATTACTATAAAAAACACAGATTATCACAAATAGAAGGAGAAAGAATTCCACTTTTCGGGATTTCAATGGTGACATATTTACCCTACACGTAGAAACAAAATGTCTATTGCCTGATACCATGAAAGGTATTAAGGCACTGTCTTTAAAAAACAAAAAGTGACACCAACTGGCATGTTCCTCTTGATGACAAAGATAAAGCTAAGAATGTATTTTCTAGGTTAAAATACAGCTCAAATTTGTAAACACTTAGTTTCGTTGGATTAATCAATAACCAATTTTTTTCAGCAAATCAAAGGTCATAAAAAGAAATGTAAAATCTCTTAACAAATTACTTCAGCAAACAGGACAAATGGACAAATAAAATGACCTACTGCTGGAAAAGTTATGTTATATATGAATGTGAAAATTTTGTCCTGTCGTTGTGGTCCAGTAGGGCCTCCTCTATTCCAAATTGCAAAAGAACTGATTTTAAAAATGTAACCTCAACATGTGACTGCATATTCTATAAAATCTCCAAAAGTTTTACTGCCTGAAAAGAGAAGTCTAAGCAGACAAATGTCACAATATACTTACTTTCCTTCTTGCTAAGCAGACAAATGTCACAATATACCTACTTTTCTTCTTGCTAAGCAGACAAATGTCACAATATACTTACTTTTCTTCTTGCTAAGCAGACAAATGTCACAATACACTTACTTTTCTTCTTGCTAAGTGGACACATGTCACAATATAATACTTACTTTCCTTCTTGTGAACTGAAAGTCAACACTTTGGAGGACATTTTCGACTTCTTTATAACAATAGGATCAGGAACGTCATTTGAGCCACTGAAAAATATCATTTAATAGAATAATTTACCACTAATTATCAACATTTTTTCACAAATGTAGAAAGTACACATGTAAAAGAAGTAACGTTATGATTATTTTCAAGTCCATGGATGTAGTGGTGAAATATTGAAATACCATCACAGATTTCTAGGATGTGGATGTTAATCCTAACTAAAATCAGTGAAGTATAATTTGTGGGTCACAGTGAAACAAATTTAACTGAATTGTATTATTAAATGTAAAAGGAATGGAGTATTAAAATACTGAATAATAAACAATGGATCATGAGAAATTGACACATATCTAATCTAATTACACATTATTGAGATGGAAGCCATCTCTGTGGGCCCCGCTGTGAATAACGTGTAGTAAAAAATTTCCATCTTTACCATAGGACATGGGGTTGTCAACTGAAACCAAAGTTTTTGACCTTGACTTTTGACCTAGGAAGTTGTACATACATTATGACACACCCTCTGGTGTTGATTAATATACATGTCAAGTATAAACTTTGAAATCATAATGGTTCTCAAGATATAGAGCGGACACGATCTTTACCATAGGACATGAGGTTGTCAACTGAAACCAAAGTTTTTGACCTTGACCTTTGACCTAGGAAATTGTACAAACATTATGACACACCCTTTGGTGTTGGTTAATATACATGTCAAGTATAAAGTATGAAATTATAACAGTTCTCTAGATAGAGAGCGGACACAATTTGTTACGGACGGACGGACAGACTGATCACTATAGGGCGACCCACCATTCCGTGGGGCCCTAATTAATACCTGTTATCCATGGGTAAAATAAAAGAACAGAGTTCCAATGTCCCCTGCGTTGCACATATTTTATCTTTCCAAAGTACAAGGGCAATAACTACTTTTTTTTTTGTTCTTTAAAACTTTTTATATATATCTTAAAGAAATGTAGGCTTCAAAGCAAATGTAATGCGATTTCCGTTATCATTTTAATATATTTCCAAAGGGCATAACTCTTTAAAAATATTTGATCAGCACTTATTTTCCAAAGTGTCAAAGACATTGCTGATATAAACCTATGATACATGTTTCATAAAATTCTGGCAAGAATTGTACACATGAGAGCACTAACAATGCCATTTTCCACATAATCAACATTTCTAAGGGGCACAACTCTTTCAAAAATTATTGATCAGCACTGATTTTCGAACTCGTCCAAGAAATTGCTGATAGAAACCTATGATACAAGTTTCATAAAAATCTGGCAAGAATTGTACACGTGAGAGCGGTAACAAGACTGGACGGACAGACTAATGGATGGATGCCCGATATTTCTATGTCCCCCTGCAAAGCGTTGGGCGGGAGACAATAAAGGTCTTAGTGGGCTAGTTGTATTTGATGTATCATGGAATATTTAAAGATCCTTAATAAATGATATATCATAGATATAACATCATGAGTTGTTGAGAAGTGAACCACAACACAAAAATTTCTCCTTATTATTGAAATAAAATATGTCATAGTGCCTCTAATGTTGAACTCTGTTATTTACAGTGAATTACATGAGTGAAATATATTTATGTAAATCCTTATGTCACTTTTCTAGAGAATTAAGATTTTAGTAAGTATATATGTAGAATATCAAATGTAAATAGATTTCATAATCAACTTTAAATACCCAACCAAATGCATAATTTCCACTGATTTATGATGCTGTGAACTTTAGAAAGTCTGTCTTACTTACTTTAGAGCACTTTCATCAGGCAGTTGTTCAAATCTAAGTCTTTTGTGACTCTTTGGTGTAGTTCCTTTAGCTTTATATACTATCTCATTGATCTTTTGCAACTTTTCTCCAGACTAAAAATATAAATAAACTTATTTTTTTAAGTACATTGTATGCCAACCCCCCAAGAAAAACAAACAAACAAACAAAACCTCCCAAAAAACATATACAGGTAAATAACTATTTAAATAAGATACTTGTATGCACAAAGCATTGATAGATTTTCATTTTGCATCCTGGTAAGATCCACTGTAGGAGTGGGGGCTATAGTACTTTGAAAATATTATACCCTTACTCTAAGAGTAGGAGCTATAGTGCATTCACTTTGTCTATCAGTCAGTCTGTCCTTCAATCCATTTATCTGAAAATATTTCTGCCACATTTTTTTTATAGTTTTTTTTTCAGCCAGTCTTTATAACTGGGACACATACCCCGAAGAAGACACTAAACTTAACTTTGATTTAAACAATAATTTGAGTATTATAGTTTGCTCATAAAAGATGCAGGATACCAGGAGATTATAATAAACAAGAGTGCACACAATGATATGTCTCGCCTGCTTTAACAAACCATGATTGATTTTATGCTGATAGTCCTAAAGATAAAATTTTACTACAAGTATCACATAAACTTAACATTATCAATGAGCCATGAAAATGAGGCCAAGGTCAAATAAAACCAGCCAGACTGACATGCACACCTTGCAATCATTCCATACATTAAATATAGTTAACCTTTTGATTATAGTATATAAGAAACAGACCAAACCAAAAAAAAACTTAATATTGACCAATGAGCCATGAAAATGAGGTTAAGGACAAATGACACCTGTCAGACAGACATGTACACCTTACAATCATTCCACACATCAAATACAGTTGACATATTGCTTATAGCATAAGAAAAATAGACCAAAACACAAAAACTAATCATTAACCAATGAACCGTGAAAATGAAGTTAAGGTCAGATGAAACCTACCAGACTGACATGTAGACCTTGCAAGGAACCCATATACAAAATATAGTTGTCCTATTACACATCATAAGTGAGAAATTCACATGACAAAAAACCTCAAATTTTTCTTCAAGCAGTCACTGAATCATGAAAATCAGGTCACAGACAATGGACATATGATGGACAGAAAATTTCGTAACATAAGGCATCTGCATACAAAGTATGAAGCCTTCTACCCTCTGGAATAGAAGGCTTAATACAAATAATTTACACTGCCGCCACTGGATTGTAATCTGTATGCGACTTTCATCGCAGGCGAGACAAAAATCATTATGGCCAATTTAGGATAAAGTAGTGTGTACATTATGAGACAAGAGGCTCATGAGAGCCTGATATCGCTCACCTGTAATTTCAGTTTCAGGCATTTGACTTATTTGTAGATCTTACTTTGCTGAACAATTTTGTCATTTACACTTTCTCTCTTTCTATAATAATATTAAAGATAATACATAACCCAAAACTGTAAAATTTCCTAAAAATTAACTATTTCTGGACAGTAACCCAACAATGAGTTGTCCTATGTATGAAGATTACTTGACATGTATATCTAAACCTGTTTCACACTTTCATCTATGTCAGATTTGTTCTTACTTCTTTAGTTTTTGAGATGAAAGCCAAAAACTTCATTTGACCCCTATGTTCTATTTTGAGAAACGGCCGCCATGTTTTTGCATGGATCAATCCCCGAATACAATCTATAAACTAGATACCCTAAGGAACATTCAATTAAAGTTTTTAAGTATTTGGCCAAGTAGTTTCAGAGAAGAAGGTTTTTGAAAAATTAACTAGACTTTCACAAATAATGTAAAAAAAAAAAAAGTTTTATGGGCAATAACTCCTCAAGGGGTAAATTGACTATTTTGATCATGTTGACGTATTTGTAAATCTTACTTAGCTGAACATTTATTGCCATTTATACTTTCTCTCGATTTATTATAATATTAAAGAAAATAACCAAAAACAGTAATAAAAATAAACTATTTTCAACAGTAACCCAACAATGGGTTGTCGAACTTGTCTGAAAATTTCAGAACAGATAGATCATGACCCATTCATCACTTTAACTCCCTTTCACTATTGCTCTAACTGCTGTAGTTTTTGAGATATAAGCCAAAAACCGCTTTTGTCTCCTATGTTCTATATTTAGCCATGGCGGCCATGTTTGTTAATAGATCAATAGAACAATTTATAAACTAGATACCCTAAGAAACATTCAGTTAAAGTTTGGAAGTATTTGGCCCAGTATTTTCAGAAAAGAAGATTTTTGAAAAAGTAATAAGACTTGCACGATAAAAAATGTAAACTAGAGGCTCTCAAGAGCCTGTGTCGCTCACCTGTATTTACTGATGCTTTGGAAATCATGTAAAATAAGGTTAAAATCATAATTAATAGTATTATATATTAGATATTATAATGATATCTAAAATAATAACAAAAAACTGCAAAATTTTTGTAAAATTACTTACTCAGGGGCAGCAACCCAACAACGGGTTGTCGGATTCGTCTGAAAATTTCAGGGCAGATAAATCTAAATTTGATGAACATTTTTGCCGCCTGTCAGATTTGCTCTAAATGCTTTAGTTTCAGAGATATAAACCAATCAAAGAGCTGAAAGCTCTGAGGAAAAATGACGCCACTGTCTCTAATATTGTGATATTTTTTATGCAAGTCTTGATTTTCACATACCGTAATAAGTTTAACATTGCAACATGTCTCGTGAGCATATAATTGATATTCGTATATGTGTCTGTTTTTTCAGTACAAATGAATAGGTCAAGACTACCTGAATGATCTACAGTATCCAATTACTACTGGCTGTTTTTTTTGTATAAATAAATAGGTCAAGACTACCGGAATGATCTACAATATCCAATGACTACTGGCTGTTCTTTTGTACTAATAAAAAGGTCAAGACTATTTGAATGATCTACAATATCCAATGACTACTGGCTGTTCTTTTGTACATATAAATAAAGACTACCTGAATGATCTAAAGTATTCTAAGTAATGTGATTTTTTTCTTGCAATTACATTTTTCTAAATCAAGAATATAGACTACTAGTATCCTTTTCAAACCAAATGATTATGAAGAGCCTGTTGTTAGCAAGCTCTTATACCCCACATACTCATTAAATAAGTTACTAGTGACCTAGTTATTTCTGTTACTTGAAGCAAATTATATTTCTGTATATTTAGACAATAGTATAATATTGTTTTACTAGTTTTATTTCACCTTGAAGATTAGACAAATAGGGATACTCTTTCGATGTTTTATTTCATGTCAGTCAGGTCGCTTTATATGAAACTTGAAACCACTTCTCTGCCATATTGTTATTTTATAACAACTCTGCCCTTGACCATGTTGATCCATGTTGATCCATGTAATTGATATTCATTCTTTAACCATATATCATAGTCAGTTAGTTTTTGATTTTGCACTCCCACACCACCTTTCATGTCTTTCAGGTCAAATGTCTGTCTCCATTTAAGTTAATGACATTGAACAATCATGGTATTAAACACAATTTCAATAGTGATAATGCTGTTCTCGTGGGTCACCATATATTCAACTTGGGTAGCATTCCAATTATTGAAATTTGTGTCAGATTAGAACAATGATCTAGATCTTTAGGAATGGATCTTATAATTTAATATGAAGCCATAGTATGGGACCCCTACATGGTAACAAAAAAAAAAAAAAGCTTGAAAGGATACAATGTCAAGCGGCAAAATCTATCACCAGAGATTACAAATCAAAAGAGGATGGACGGGATACGTCTCTAAAATGCTTGCTGAACTGGAACTACAGCAAGATCTCCAGACAAGACGAACAAAGCGTTGAAGCCAGAAGGTAATATTTATGTAAAAAGTAGTTGAGGGGCTGATTCCCGCTATTGAACCATACTGTCATTCTATAATATCATTGCGTAAGTATTTCTGTATTGGCCTTGTTATTGGTCCATGTCTTGGGTGTATTGGTCTGAGGCGAAGCAGAAGGCCAATACTGCTGGCCGAGGACCAATAATAAGGCCAATACAGAAATACACGTAATAGTATCTTTTTTAATTAACTTCAGTGTTACAATATTTTTTTTATTTCATTTCACAAGAGATAAACATTTTTACCTTGAAGTGGAACTATCCAAATCTCAGTTTCCTTTTATAAGATGCAATATCTAATGATTCGGTGCCGTTTGACTGCTGGCCGAGAACCAATAATAAGGCCAATACAGAAATACACGTAATAGTATCTTTATTAATTAACTACAGTGTTACAATATTTTTTTTATTTCATTTCACAAGAGATAAACTTTTTTACCTTGAAGTGGAACTATCCAAATCTCAGTTTCTTTTTATAAGATGCTGTGACGAAAAAGAGAGGACTGTCGGGTAACTGGGGGAACTAGAAATGCCTGAACCTGACGACGACGAATGAAAGTGATGGCAATTTCCTAATACTCCTGTGGTACTCCGCTTTCTCTCAGGTTGATCCTCCAAGTATTGTTAAGTTTCATGAATCAGGTAGCGTTGTACTGAGAATGTTCCTGGTCACATAAATTATAAGTGGATCCTTGAGTAGTGTATAACTAAAAGATACTCGGAAGTCAATGATAAGTTCAACTTGTATTAAAAAGACATGTGGAATATACGCAATTTAACAATGCATAGTAAACGGACGGTATTACAATAAATTCACCCTACAGACTACAAAACTCTTGACTTCTTACTGACTAAAATAGTGCCTAACCCCCCTATTTATACTCCCCCAATTAACCTGAATAATCATAAAACACTTAACTCCCTTAACCAATGAAAAAGTGACACATAAACTGGTAGGGCTAGTAGGGCACCTGGTAGGGCACTACAGCTCCAGTGGTAGGGCTGGTAGGGCACCTGGTAGGGCTCTGCAAACTAGGTCAACAAAACAGGAAATGTCTGTCATTGATAGTTAAATTACATTTATGAAACAAAGAACAACCTTTAAAAACAGTGGGCTGACTAATTATAACTGACAAACTTATATATGAATGATGAAACTTGTTAACCCCACCTTAAAAAGAGTAAAGTAAATGATAACACTATTGCTATAACTGTAAATACATACAAATACATATAAAATCTTGAAAAAGGGGGAGAATACCAAAATACAATATTCATTACAATGCAATATCTAATGATTCCGTGCCGTTTGAAGTATCTTCAGCCTTTTCTCGTCTGATGAATTTTTCTACCCTTTCCAGTCACTATAAAGTGTTACAACTTTAATTTAGACACAACACATAAATAGTAATCTGAAAGGTACTGCCATTGCATGTGTAATGCAAATATATTTAAAAAAAAAATAATGTAAGAGTTGAAATTGATACAACTATCCATAAGTCAATTGACCAAAGAACGAAGATTTGCACAATTACAGAATGCATATGCCTGGTTCTGGTTTAAAAATAAACGACCGTTTAAATACAAAACATGAGAAGCGACAGTAAACAGTAAAAATCGATTTGTACCATCGACATGATGAAATTATGAGGTCGTCAAGAAATGAACTTTGTGATAATTTACTCGTTCCCCAAACCGGAAATAATCCCATAGTCTACTTTCAAAATGCTTTTTAAATGAATGGGACCGTCTTTAACCTAAAATATATGCCATACTGAACGTTTCAGCTTGTTTATGGTGAGTAAACCTGCGTCTTACAAACAACTGTTTTTACTTTCAGTTTGAGTTTATCGTGACTTACGATCTAAAAACTAGAGACGTTCCGAAATCCTGTTTTGTAAACAAAGATTCATACGCACCGCGTGGGTATAACCGTATTACTAATTTCCGATTTTTTAAATCTTCGTAAATCTGGATAAAGACCATTTTTCTATCCAATGGATATCAAAATGATTCCGATTTTCACTTTTTTTAATGATTGTAAAGTTGAAATGGCATGAAAGGCTGACATTATTTAGGAGAACTATTTTGTCTAGTGATTGCTGATCATTGGAGGGTAAAAAGTCCAACACCATAACAAAACGGATCTATTTATCATGTATACATACCGATTGTTTACGATTGTAAGACATGTGAATAAAAGTGAAAGCTCGAATAAATACGAAAAATATAACAAAGGGATAGCTCCAAATACCATTTAATAACAAAAAACATATGGACAGGTCAAGATATCTTTTTGGTAAATAAAATAAAGTATGTAAACTGGTTCCCGTCCATCAACACTTTGTTCGAGTGTAGCGTAATACAAGCAGATTCCAGTTAGTATGTAAAATAGTAAATATGAAACCGAGTGCGGTAGGCGGAGGCAATAATCGACTTCCGTAAGTTCTGGTCAATGGTATCGGAAACATGCCGCTGATAGCGTCATTTTCCAAAAACTGCATTTTACCCCTATGTTCTATTTTTAACCAAGTCGGCCATGATGGTTGGAAGGCGGGATCATCAGACAAATTTTTTAAACTATATACCCTAATAATGATTATGGCCAAGTATGGTTAAATTTGTCTCAGTAGTTTCAGAGAAGAAGATTTTTGTAAAAGATTACAAAAATTTACAAAAAATTGTTAAAAATTGACTATTAAGGGCAATAACTCCTAAAGGTCTAAAACCACTAATTTATAGCCCCATTGCTTTCTATGTTAAATTCTGCAATTTCAAGCATAAATGGCTACTTTATCTTAAGTTCAAATAAAGTGGCAGTTATTTCATGTCAAAACTGTACCTTATGCTGACTTGTGCTGAAAAAATCAACATACCTTTAATTGCATATTAGAGCGTACTGGTTCCCGGAAGTTTGATAGTACAAAAACAGGAACTTCTGATCTGAACAACAGGCCAAATGAGTCCTCCTATTAAAATTTCCTATACTTCTTTATTATTCAAATAAAACTTTCAACAAGGGTTCTACAGTGACCCCAAGTCCCCAAGCTTTCATTTGATACTAAAACTACCCAAATATTCCCACTATTGACAAAGATACAGCTATGCGTAGGAACTATTTTGTTTAAAATATGTACTACTTTCTTGTATGTTCTTTCCGACCGGGCCTGAATTAGTGGTTCTATACCTAAAGGGGTCGACTGGCAATTTTGGTCATGACAACTTATTTGTAGATCTTACTTTGCTGAACATTATTGCTGTTTACAATTTATCTCTATCTATAATAATATTCAAGATAATAACCAAAAACTGTTAAATTTCCTTAAAATTACCAATTCAGGGGCAGCAACCCAACAACAGATTGTCAGATTTGTCTGAAAATTTCAGGGCAGATAGATCTTGACCTGATAATCAGTTTTCCCCTATGTCAGATTTACTCTAAATGCTTTGGTTTCAGAGATATAAGCCAAAATCTACATTTTACCCCTATGTTCTATTTTTAGCCATGGCGGCCATCTTGGTTGTTTGGCGGGGTCATCGGACACATTTTTTAAACTAGATACCCTAATGATGATTGTGGCCAAATTTGGTTAAATTTGGCACAGTGGTTTCAGAGGAGAAGATTTTTGTAAAAAGCTAACGACGACGGACGCCAAGTGATGAGAAAAGCTCACTTGGCCCTTTGGGCCAGGTAAGCTAAAAATAAATGTTTCAAGGGCAATAACTCCTTAAGAAGTCAATTGACTATTTTGATCATTTGACTTTTTTGTATATCCTACTTAGCTGAACATTTTTGCTATTTACATTTTCTCTCTATCTATTATAATGTTAAAGATAATAACCAAAAACAATAAAATTTCATAAAAATAAACTATTTAGGACATTTACCATACAATGGGTGGTCCAATTGGTCTGAAAATTTCATAGCAGATAGATTTTGACTTATTCATCACCTTAACCCCTTTGTCACTTTTGCTCTAACTGCTATAGTTTTTGAAATAAAAGCCAAAAACTGCATTTGACCCTATGTTCTATTTTTAGCCATGGCGGCCATGTTTGTTAATAGATCAAAACTTCGGATACATTTTATAAACCAGTTACCCTAAGGAACATTCAGTTTAAGTTTAGAAGTATTAGGCTCAGTAGTTTGAGAGAAGATTTTTAAATGTAATCAAACCTGATGAACAAATTGTGTAAAATTGTCTTTAAAGGGCAATAACTCTTAAAGGGGTCAATTGACAATTTTGGTCATAAAACTTTTTTGTACATCTTACTTTGCTGTACATTTTTGCTGTTTACAGTTTATCTTTATCTTCAATAATATTCAAGTTAATAACTAAAAACTGCAAAATTTCCTTAAAATTACCAATTTAGTGGCAGCAACCCAACAATGGGTTGTTGGATTCATCTGAAAATTTCAGGGCAGATAGATCTTGACCTATTGAACATTTTTAACACCTCAGATTTGCTCTAAATGAATTAGTTTTTGAGATAAAAGCCAAAAACTGCATTTGACCCCTAGGTCCTATTTTTAGTCATGGCAGCAATGTTTGTTGATGGATCAAAACTTCAGAAACAATTTATTAACAAGATACCCTAAGGAACATTCAGTTAAAAGTTTGAAGGTATTTGGTCCAGTAGTTTCAGAGAAGATTCTTGAAATAGTTTAGGACGATAGATGCCAAGTGATGACATAAGCTCACATGGGGCCCTTTAGGCCTGGTGAGCTAAAAAAGGTGTGAGTATCCAATATTTGGTTGATATTCATACATAACATGCAACAAGTAATACATATCATTATCCTGGTCGCATAATCCCAAGAAATTAGTAGTATCTTAATTTTTGAATGACTTACACCAACACCTTCACCAAAACTGTATAGCTGTCTGGATCTAGGGGTCATCTGACTAGGTGAAGATGGGGCCTTGAATGGAGAATCTTTCAACGGTGAAATATAAAAATGTTTTCTGTTTGGAAGACTGTAAAATAAATGAATAGTAATTAATCAACCAATAGTTGTCTTGGTACTTCAATATATCCAGTTACGTTATAAAATCCATATGCAGATTCATATCACATGGCGAAGGCTTATTCTTAATACTTTAAAATGAAATACCTTTATATATACACATATGTGTGCGTCATGGACATTTTTTCAATACAATTTCAGAAACTTTAAGAGGACTTAAAAGTGTGGGTTATTTTTTCGTGAAAAAAAGTCACTGAATTTCAACAGATTTTGTATTTTAACAGAGGTCACAACATGAAATCCTACCATTTTGTAAAACCTCAAAAAACCATTTGTCAAATTCAAAAATTTAAAATACAAATGATTTTATTGATTTCAAAATGCAAAGTCATACAGGTTAAAGCGAGGTCAGACCTACATACAGGAAAGCTAAAATCAGACCAGCATATAATAAAAGGTCAAGAGTTTAACAATTTTGTTACAGCTCACTAGCCCAGGACTACTGGTAGCAGGATTTTATTGTTCCGATTTCAATCAGGTAAGACTTAGTAACAAAAGGCAATCAAGACATGGTGCTAATTAATTCAAAGTCACCGGACCATGTCCTGGAAATAGTCGTCAAACTGATATGTACTGATAGTAATGGGACTTTACAGAAAATATTATTGATCTATCACAAGTAGTTCCTATCAAACTGATTTAAGCAGAAAACTTTACAATTGTTGACACCGTTTAACGTCTGCCACAGCGTGAAAAGCAACAAAGCAACACCTATGTCTCACTTTCCAAAACAAAACTGTGACTTTTGTCACAGGCGAGACAAAAACAATATTAAACTTCATACATTTGATATAAATTTGATGTTCTGACAAACTGTTACATTGCAAGTGCATCATACAAAATGTTGAACATAAGTTTACTAAAATCAGCGGGACTCTTAATTAATGCATGCTATCAGAACTTTTTTTTTAAAAGGCACATTTTCCTAATAATTGGATGTTGACTTGACAATGGTAAAACACTGACCAGAGACAGATAAGTAAAATCCGTGAATGTTTACAAAGCACAATTTAGCTTAAATACATCTTTCCACTTTATTTGAAATGAACGCAAGATAAAGGTATCAATGATTTTTTTTGCATTTTTGAAGAATTCTGATGCATAATCATCTCACACCTTTGCACATGTGCACACATGTATTAGTTCAAAGAAAGAGGTTCTGTTAATTTATCACTTAAAACTTTTTTAATACCTTTTTAAATTTAACATAGAATCATATTTTAATGTATATTTCTGATAGGCTAAATCATTTTTACTTAATTTATTAGATGCAAACAGGTCTTATCAGTCAATGCATCATACCCCCAGTACCATTAATTGAAAGTCTCAGCATGAGCAATGTACAATACCCCAAGTACTGAGAATGCAATATTGAATCCGATAGCCCAAGATAAAAATAATGAGGAAGGGATTTTCCACTTGCTATTTTTGTAATGCCAAGAATTTTTATTTAATTATCAATCGGGAATACTGGATGACAACTTTTGATTGCCAGAGGTGTTAATGTTCTAGTCCCGGCGACGGTCTAGTGGATTTTTAACCCCTAAGAACTGTGAGACCATTCATAATGGCAGTGCAATAATGTTAGCATACTTACCTAAAAACAGGTGAAGCCAGTGGTGATGACATTGGTATTGGCACTGGGGATAATGCTGGTGTCTGTAAAAGGACATTTTAAACTCATTCATTTTAAAATGTATAATAAAAAACAAAAATACAAATGTGAGATTTATATAACAAAGGATAAGTATAGGCAAATGTTTTGTTAAATTAAATTTATAGTACATGCCAGCTTTATTTACAGCTTGTAAAAATATTAAAAATTGGTAGCCCATGATTTTACAGGTTACAGATTTTCTTCAAATTTGTTTGGTTTTTGGTCAGTCAGTCATATGAAACATTCCAGTTCATCTGACCCTAATGTCTGACAGTCCTTTTATGAATTTCGGAGGCCTGAACAACCTGACCATAAGCGTTTTGCTGGTGAGAGTTCTTCCAAAGTACCATATTCAAATAGCTACTTGAATAAAAAAAAGAAAAATTATCTATAATTTTTCGGCCTTTTGACCAGGTATGTCTATAATTCAGCATTGCTAAAATTAAAAGAGGCCTGGAATAAAGCAGTTTATAAAAATCATTTCTCTAATTCTCTGGCAATTTAACCCTTTCTGGACCCACTGTATAAAAATCAAAGTGCTTGTGAGCACTGAAACGGAAAAGATTGCTTTCATTTTGCAATTTTGTGAATTTAAAATAAAACTAAGATAGGCAAATTATAAATCTTCCTTTGTTCTTGACTGTAAAATTTGTAGTTGAGTCTATTTTTATCACAAATTCATACACCATGAATTACATAAGTAGTTTCTAATAAAGAAAAGTTTTCTTGACAAGTATGGTAATTCAAATACACATCATATTGTAACTTGAATATCTAAGTATAACATATCATTAATAAATTGCATGAATTTGACCGAATAAGATCTAAAAAATGATCACTTCACTGCACTATTTTGTTTGAGCTATCAAATGTAGTGATAAATCTTGGACGATTTAGATATCAAATCAGTACCATAGGGTTTTAATTGCATTTCATGCAATCTTTACCCAATAATAAATGGAGAATGTGTCCATGGGACACAGATGATGCCCCCACTTGAATATAACGTTATATAGATATATATCTAGATAACAGTCTAAGTGATGATAAATTCGAACTTGATCTTGTTTTAAGGTAATTTAAAGCATTGTGTATAAGTTTCATAACATTTGGTTAAGGCAAACTAAAGTTAGAGAACGGAAACCGATTGTGAAAGGCACTCGAAGGGGATTTTCAAATTATCAAAAATGAAAATTTATTTGATAATCATTAGAGAAAGAGATTCTTACATAGTTACTCGTAGATTATTGGATTTATCCAATCTCGATAGTTAAATCCTCAATTTATCTATCTCGATTGGATAAATCTGATAATCCACTGGTGCAAATGTAAGAATCTATATGTAGTAATTGCTGTGCCTATGGATATTTTCATGGCATTCTACTGCCTATCCCAATCTACATATTTCTTATCAGAAAATAAGAGCTGTATAACATAAAAAGCTCAAAATCTGTTTTTTCATCCAGTTGTGTGAACGCTGTGTTGGTTATTTACGACTTTTTATCTATCATTAATGATAGCAAACATTAAATACATCATTTTTTTTTTCTGCATTTTTTGGGAAAGTTTGGCCATATTATATCCCCTTCATCCCTTGCATTTTTCCAAATTAATAAAAAAATCTTTCAAGAAAAGAGCTGATACACACACTATCCCATATATGTTTATAAATAAAACAGATGCAATGGTTCATTATAATCTCCTTAAGAATAAAAGAATCAATTGCACAAACAAATAAAAGAAGAATGTGTCCGATGACATGAATGCCACCTCTCAAATAGGACGGACGGACAGAAAGACGGAAGGTCAAGGGTAACACTTAATGCCCCTGTCTCCTACGGTGGGGGCATAAAAATATGTAGGCGTTTTAAAATGTTTGTTTTACTACATACTATAAACATTGTTTTACTTACATTTACTTTCGATGCTTGGAACTGTAAGATAAAGGATTTCATGTTTTGCATGAAGACTTTGTTGTAGAAACCAATGATTGAGTCGTACTCACATCCTTCTATTAAAGCATTCTTATAAACCTGTAAAAAAACTGGTCTATGTCAACTTATTTTGAATTTTATATTTCATTCAAATGTTTTGAAAAAGGGCAAAAAATACTGGGAATATATTAAGAAAAATTTGTAGGATGCAAACCTTATTCTAGTAGCATGTAATTTAAAAACGTTCAGGTTGTATTGCTTTCTCTGCAATAATCAATGTATCTATCTAAGTGAACTTATACATCTCCAAGTTTCCTGGTGTCCTAACTTGATCTTTCAATTCAATGTTCACCATTTCTAAGATTTTACTGGACCTGACATCTGTATACCACACTTGTTTTGTTAGTTTACATGTAGGTTTAATCAATCATGACAAATCTATTATAACCCATACTACATATCTGATCATTTCCAGCTTCTAAATAGTCCTTACTAGATACAAATCCCAACAAATTTCATGACATTAACTGAAAAAATGTTTCTATAGAACAATATGCCTTACTTTATTGGTATTTTTAGAACTAAAATACTAACTTTGAGTTCAGCATGAGGTAATTCTCTGTACATCTGGACAATAAATTTAAATTTGATTTCTCTGTCTACTACTTTACATATACCATACACAGAACACAAAAGAATCTGAAATAAACATCATTTTCTTACGTTTCCTTTAATCTACACACACAAAAGAATCTGAAATAAACATCATTTTCTTACGTTTCCTTTAATCTACACACTATAACTAATAAATGTATAAACATGTTTATATATATGAGCAAAAGTAAGTAAAAAATATCTTAAAAAATAACAGATTGACAGTCGCTTATTTATACTAATAAAATATCAAAGCCTGATGGACATCGAGCATCAACATTGCCCATATAATTGCAATATCATATCATTTCGCAATAATGATCATTCATTAAATAATCTGTCAAAACAGTTTTTTCCCCAATGAACAGAATGCTATCTCATATAACATATCAATTTACATGCTATTCAACACAAAAAGGCTGATCGTCACCATCTTATTTTGTACAATTAGCCAAAAACAGATGATACAGCCATCTTAACATTTAAATCAATAAATCAATAAACTTACACTAACAAAAAACAAGATGCATACAGTCAATACAGGTTTATATAAATACCTGGTCTAAATGTCGGTTTTTCAACAGCAATGGTTTCCTTGATATACAATACTCTAAACAAGTCCATATTTTGTGTTGCTGAAATATATGACTGAGTTTTAGATAATTAAATCCATGGAAAATAACATTCAATGTATTAAAATCTATAACTGTGGTTATAGATCAGAACAGCTTTCTTTTAGCTTTCATAATACATTTTATATTACAATTTAAGTATAGGAAGCATATTTTTTTCACTTTAAATTTAAAATAAAGTTCAGCATAAGATTGTAAAATTTTGTATTAGACAATATTTCAATTCAAACAACACTGCTACACCTCCATGAAATATCCTCAATAACTGATTATACATTGTAAGAGTCTCTATAGTAGAACTGAAGAACAATCCCTGAACACATTACTTGTCATCCAAGAAGCTTTTGTAATTATCCCCCTATTAAACATAGCTAATTATTGCCATTTACATGGAATCCTTATATTTTTGATAAGTTAGCATAATACTAAATATTTATGAGAAGTTGCACTGTTTGGAGAGAATTCCAGTTGTAAGGATGAATACAAGAAGACTCAAGAGTGACATTATGGTGCAACAGACCAAAAATGATATGCAAGTCGAAATATTCCCAGAAAAAACAAGTGAAACTGCGAGCTACTGCTCACTGATGATACCCCGTCCAAATACTTTACGGTAAACAGGAAGTTGTTGAGTGATGAATCTGAAAATGCATCACGCGGTATAGCCGACTAATATAAACCCTGTAACCAAATTTCAGAAATCCTTGTAATGTAGTTCCTGAGAAAGATGTGACGAAAAAATATTCATGGGACGGACGGACGGCCTGACGGACGGACAGAGGCAAACATAATGGTGGCACATTACGTAATAAAACTAGATGTGTCAGAACGACATGAATGGCCCCGCTTGCAAAAAAAGCCTGAAGCCATTTTTAGGAACTGAAATTTAAGAATGAAAGTCTGTACAACTGTTATTTTCACTTTTTTTTTTCGAAGTCTAAAGGTCGTAATTTCGGCACAAATCAGTGGAGCGGAACCAGAGGTAAACTAAATCTATAACTTGTAATAGTAGACTCACATACTAAAATTCAGCTCAATATGTGGAGGCATTAAGATAAAAATTTGTATAACTGATATTTTTCACAAAATGTTCCAATTCCAAAGCCCCTTGTTTCTGCAAAAATCAGCGGAGCAGATCCATGCGTAAATTCGATCTATATCTCATCATAATAGACTCACATACTAAAAATCAGCTCTATATTTGAAAAAAAGTCTGTTTAACTGTTTGTTGCGGAATGATGAATAAGGGTAAAACTGAATGGCCCCGACACATTTTTTGCATGGCATAAAAATCGCACCCTCCCACCCTACAGTAAGTATGACCATTTTGGCATATGGTTTCCATCTATCATTTAAAAGGTATAATTTCGATATTATAGGCCAAAGATAGTTTTACATGTTCAAAAACTCATTCAAAAGAGGCGGTAAAGTATGGTTAACTACACATGATGGCAAACAATCACCTAGGAAAGCTTTTCAACAAAAGGTTTCAAGAGGAGTACCTTTCAGACGCAGATTTAGAGGAGAGCCCCCCCCTTATGGAGCTTCATATATGATAAAATGCATAGACTTTTGACAAGTATCACTCTAAATGTTGGCTTGCCTGAGGGAGATATGAAGAATGTTCACCCAAGAAAAGCATATTTCCCAAGGTCATTGGCCGAGGAAAATAAAACTTTTCGAGAGTGAACAAATCTTCACGTCTCCCTAAGCCAAGAGAAAGAAATATTTTTCATATAACCTACCTGATCTTTGGGGATTTGTAAACTGGTACACAGCTGCTGTAATCTGTGGTAACCTAATCTACAAACTGAAAGTAGGTAAGCAGATTTAAAATACATCTGTTTAGCCATATTAAATCAATTCTTAATGCACAATTTGTGTATGGGAGGTTTTTCCTGTTCATACAAAAAAATCTGCTAAACATATAAATTGGATTAATACAAAGTTCAGGTTTTTTTTCTAATTGTGTCTTAAATGCCCACGTGGTCTCATTGTTTGGTGCTTTCCTGGGGTTTGGAGGTTGCGGGCCAGTCTTCAGCTATGATGCTTCTCAACTAAGCACACAGTATTTAGTCATAGCAAAAACTGGATGGATCATTCAAAATGAGTAGTTAGACATTTACCATGTGAGCTTCCATGTCAGAACAGTAGAAAGCAGGATATATTCATAAAACTGTTCTAAAAATAGATGTAGGAATCTTATTCACTTCTGGAAATGACGAAGTCACATTTTAATACTGAAGGGACTTTCCACTTGAAACTTTAGTCTGTGAACTGTCATATATAAGTCATGATGACCGAAATCTTACATTTCATGTTTCATAATGCACCTGCACATAAAATTATATTGCTGTCAAACAGAAACTAAGTCTTGGATGTTTAGCACTCATGTATATGGGTGCCGAGGTTACCCTATTAGTTCTTCTAAACTCAAAATATCCAAATGAAATTTTAGTTTCTGCTTGGATTATTCTACATTTGCATGTTAATAATCAAAGAAATGCAGCATTAATTGTGTATTGAAGTAAGACTATTTTTTTAAGAGTTACCTACCTTTGTTTATAAATAAATTCAAGGACTGAGATTTCTTTGGCATAGACTTCTCTGGACTGTTATCTCCAAATTTTCTAGGTGACTGCAATGATTTCCTAGGTGACGGCAGTGGTTTTCTTGGTGATGGTGGACATGGCGATACACCTCTACGATTAGGAGTTCTCATGGGGGATAAATACCTGTTAATATATAATACTCTATGCACAAACATTTTAGTCTTCAGCAACAACCTTTATAATAAACTGTTGTCTCCCACAAAATTCATGTTTTGGAAGACCCTAACACAAAACAGCATATTTCCTTTAAATTAGACGAAAGCATAAAAAATATATGTACAAAAACTAGAGGCTCTAAAGAATCTGTGTGGCTCACCTTGGTCTATGTGCATATTAAACAAAGGACACAGATGGATTCATGACAAAATTGTGTTTTGGTGATGGTGATGTGTTTGTAGATCTTACTATTCTGAACATTCTTGCTGCTTACAATTATCTCTATCTATAATGAACTTGGCCCAGTAGTAAAAATTGACAAAAATTTACAAAATTTATGAAAATTGTAAAAAATTGACTATAAACGGCAATAACTCCTTAAGGGGTCAATTGACAATTTTGGTTATGTTGACTTATTTGTAGATCTTACTTTGCTGTACATTATTGCTGTTCACAGTTTATCTCTATCTATAATTAAAGAACCTTAGTGAGCGCGCTCACAAACCCCACGTCACCACATTGTCATTGGAGAAATAAAATATGTGTAAGAAAAAAAAATTGTATAAGAAAAAAAAAATGAATCATAATTTCCTGTCAATATGCACATCTACATAGTATGTCCTTATTATCTACACAGTTTCATGAAATTCTGTTGTGTGGTTTCAGAGGAGTTGCAATGACAAACTGTTGCAGTAGTACATTGAAGCAAATAAGTTCAAAGGGGCGTAACTCCTAGAAAAAAAATTGAACCGTAATTTCCTGTCGATATGCATATCTACATAGTATGTCCTTATTATCTAAAAAGGTTTCATGAAATTCTGTTGTGTGGTATCAGAGGAGTTGCGATGACAAACTGTTGCAGTAGTACATTGAAGCAAATAAGTTCAAAGGGGCGTAACTCCTAGAAAAAAAATTGAACCGTAATTTCCTGTCGATATGCACATCTACATAGTATGTCCTTATTATCTAAACAGGTTTCATGAAATTCTGTTGTGTGGTATCAGAGGAGTTGCGATGACAAACTGTTGCAGTAGTACATTGAAGCAAATAAGTTCAAAGAGGCGTAACTCGTAGAAAAAAAATTGAACCGTAATTTCCTGTCAATATGCACAACTACATAGTATGTCCTTATTATCTAAAAAGGTTTCGTGAAATTCTGTTGTGTGGTTTGAGAGGAGTTGCGATGACAAGAAACAGGACTGACGGACTGACGGACTGACAGACGGACGGACGGGTCAAAAACATTATACCCTCCGCAACTCGTTGCGTGGGGTATAATAATATTCAAGATAATAACCAAAAGCTGCAAAATTTTCTTAAAATTACCAATTCAGGGGCAGCAACCCAACAACATGTTACCTGATTGGTCTGAAAATTTCAGGGCAGATAGATCTTGACCTAATGAAAAATGTTATCCTCGTCAGATTTGCTCTAAATGCTTTGGTTTCAGAGATATGAGCCAAAAACTGCATTTTACCCCTATGTTCTATTTTTAGCCATGGCGGCCATATTGGTTGGTTGGCCGGGTCACCTGACAAAGTTATTAAACAAGATACCCCAATGATGACTGTGGCCAAGTTTGTTTAAATTTGGCCATGTAGTTTCAGAGGAGAAGATTTTTGTAAAAGTTAACGGACGACGGACGCCAAGTGATGAGAAAAGCTCACTTGGTCCTTTGGGCCAGGTGAGCTAATAAAAGGTAATTCAATCAAGGACACTTTTCTGATGTTTCTTAGTTATGATTTATTTTTATCATTATAAAGTAATATTTGATAGTGTTAGTGAATATCTTACAATTCTGCTGAAGAAGTTGTTTCTACTGGTATTGGAGATGGAGAACACATGGGCATTGTAGTAACTTCTGTACTCTCTAACAGACTAAATAGTGGTGAATCCTAAAATAGTATATATCATTAAATAAAATAATAGTGGTAAATCCTAAAATATTTTATATCATCAAATAAATTAATTAATCCTAAAATATTATATATCATCAATTCTATTATGACGGTCTTAAAACGCTTTGAATACACACCCATGGTAAAATATGAATATATTATTATGGCTGTTCCGATCATACTCCCACGACATATGCTTTTTTATGAATGAGCTACACGGCTTGAATTATTTCTTAAATAAACTAGACATCATTGAGATGGGAGCCATCTCTGTGGGCCCCACTGACCTTGAACTTTGACCTAGGAAGTTGTACAAACATTATGACACACCCTCTGGTGTTGGTTAATATACAGGTCAAGTATAAAGCATGAAATTATAACGGTTCTCTAAATAGAGCAGACACAATTTGTTACGGACGGACAGACAGACAGACTGATCACTATAGGGCGACCTGCCACTAGGCGGCGCCCTAATTAATCACTCCTAAAATATTACCTATCATCAAATAAATTAATATTGGTAAAGTAAAATACTTAAGTACTATAAAATAAATTAATATAAAATTATGTAGAACATATCATCTTTTCTATAAATGTATATCTAAATCCCTCATGAAAATGTATAGTGTAAAGAAAAGATGAAAGCTTTTTTTTATAATCATTATTATTCTGTTTTAGAAGATGTTCAAGACCTTTTTCTATATAATCATATTACAACACAGCAATCAGTTTCACTTAACAATAACCAAATCTAATAAATATTGTGTAAGCTACTTGTCATGGTGGACTGTTAGTCCTCAATAGTATGTTAGTCATAGATTCAGCACTGGAGTGTGTTATAAAATGTGTGCACTTTGATATATATTCAATTGCTTTTTTGTTTTTTGGTAATTCTAATAAAACTATTGTTCCATCTTCAAGTCACAATAAAACTTTTTGGTCCTTTTTTGGTTATGTCAGAATGTATTTATACAAATAATGCTTTCTAAACTTTTGGTTCTGAGAATCCCAAACGAATGTTTACCTATAAATCACCACAAACTTGGTTAATTCAGTGTATATAAATAAGAAGATGTGGTATGAGTGCCAATGAGACAACTCTCCATCCAAGTCACAATGTATAGAAAGTTAACATTTATAGGTCCAAGTACGTGTTTATAATTTGATCTACAATGTATAAAACTGGTAAAAACTTACTGGTTTCCATGCTAAGCACTCTAGAATTTTAATTTCTGTGCTTTGTAGATGCTGCAAAGAAAATGACACAAGAACTTATAATGTTTGCAGAGGTTTCTTTTGTAAACATTTTAAATCCAAAGCAAATTTTTCAAATTTTTTATTTGATAACAGTAAAAATTCTTCTTATTTTTGAAAAGATTGCTCCTACATCAATTTCTGTCAAAGAACTATTTATTCTTCAATCAATTAATTTGTTTTATTTAACTATATATTATTTCACATTTCCAATTATAAAGAGCTCAAGCTTATTAATGAATACAGAAACTGAGTCATCTGAACTAATACCTTTATAATATCTGTTGTCAACACAGGTTCTGCTTTGATGAAACTCTCCAAAACCTTGTAGAAATCATAAGGATGTAATTTAAACAGCTCTAAAATCCATGGAAAGGAAAATTTTGAGTCATCAGATCCCATTTTCTTGGTGGAAGGATTCCCTGAAAATGACATTACACATTACATAAAAGTTATTTACACTATTCTGTGTGTAGGAGTAACCTTCTGACAATTCATACTATAAATGAAATAGCTTCCTGAGTATAAACATGAATGCAATGGAATAAGAAAATTTAAACAGACAAAAAAAATTGATTGACAAAGTTGAAACTACTGGGCTCCATTACCTTCAATGTTGTTAAATCTGTCCTTTAGTTCTCTGAAAGCTCCATTATCATGCATTTTCTATAGATCAGCAGGAAACACTAAAATTTGTTGCAGATAATAGGAAATGGTCACCAATGAACACAGAAATATGATTAAACTTACAAGATCTTCCATACGTCATAAGCACTATTTCTATGGAACATGCCAAAAGACTCCGATGAAAATTTTCAATATTTAGTAGCTTGCTGAAGTCTGTTTGTGATAGTCTTTCTTTCTCCTACAAAATGACAATCATTGTATAAATTAAATTTTCTGCTGTATTCTTATTAATAAATTTAATGCACATTTTTAATCGTTAATGCATGTTTAAATATTATCTTTACACAACATTTAGAACTTTTCATCTATTTTAGGTTTTATGATTCTTATTGATTCATTTGATATTTCTACATTAGTTCCTAATAAACTTTAAGAATGTTTATATCATTTCAAGGCCACGTATTGAACACACCATCCATGGTAATTGTCTTCTTTAAGGAAAATGAATTTCAAAACACATAGTAAATACCACAAGCTTGCAGAGAAATCTAGCCAATTTCATATATGAATAATTGCAGTGAACCCACAAATTGTTACCTGACAAACGATCTCGGATATTTCCAGCTGTCAGGTAGTTATTCTAAACTCTATATTAACCTTGAACTTTACTGCTCATCAGACTTAACTTGATAAGAAATACCAAGAAGCTTCAAATTAGGACAACTGAGAAAAGGGTGACAGATGTCAAACACCAGCAGTGACATTTGGTTACCCTGAAACTTGTCAAAATTTACACTATTTGTTTTGTTTCAAGACAAAGATTAGCTTTATTTACACCTTAAACCAAAATAAATTAAACTAAAATATAATTATAATATATTCATACTAATACTTCCAAGTCGATACAGATATGATTGATTCTTATTCCCTCTAAAACCTACATGATATCCATGTATTGTGCCTTCAAACCTCACCCACACCATAATTTACTAGAATAGCCCTTGAAACTTCAAAAACTGTATTAAAGCACATATTCTAAAATTTATATATATTTATATATTTTTTGTTCAATACTTACATAGTTTAACATGGCTTCCATGACTCTATAGTACAACCTTTGTGCTAACATGTATCTCTGTATAGCCACAGGTCTGTGATTATCATTGGTTAAACTAACATACTCTCTAATAAACACATCTTTCATCTTCTCAGTGCGATTAAGTATGGACGAATATGGATTCACTGAACAATTCTACATTAATAACGAGAGAAAATTCATTAATTAAAAGTACATCTTTAAAAAAATTTGATTATTTGTTAATTCAAAACATGCTTGTTTGTACTTTAGTTTGAATCATATAATTCCACCTTATAGGCGTGATGAGCAAATTAACAATACAATTAGTAAATCAAAGCACGAAAGCGCTGTAAAGGCAGTTAATTACAGGTTGTGTGTATTGTAAGTCCAGTTATATCATTATCTTGCATAGTACAGTGTACTTATCAGAGGTGGCTTTCAGTATTTAAGATTTAGAGTTCTCTAATGATATTGAATAAGTTTTATGAATGTCATATTCTGAGCACTATATGAAAGCGATTGTTCTCACTTGTTTATGAACTAGTGCATTATGTCCAGTTTGTACCTTTTTTATCTATGTTTATAGTCAAATTAGTTATCAAATGTACCAGGATTATAATTTAATACGCCAGACGTGTGTTTCGTCTACATAAGACTCATCAGTGACATTCAGATCAAAATAGTAACAAAGCCAAACAAGTACAAAGTTGAAGAGCATTGAGGACCCAAAATTCCAAAAAGTTGTGCCAAATACGGCCAAGGTAATCTATTCCTTGGATAAGAAAATCCTTAGTTTTTTCATTGGCAATCATAACACATCTCCTTATTTATATAACGATCTATATTCAACGACCTCAGGTACAAAAAAAATGTATGTAACTAAACTATGATGGGAAACCTTTGACTTCTTTCTTTATATAAACTTTTGATTTGGTACCATAGAACTATGTAGAGTAAATGTACATTGCAACATGTCAACTCTTTCAACTCCAAGCAAAATTATATTTCCAAGCATAAAGTAATTTATTAATGAAATAAAATGCTCCGCTGGGGCACAGCTTGATACGACTGCAGAGGTCGAACCTTGAACAGTTGGGGCAAGTATGAACACAACATTCAAGCTTGATTCAGCACTGAATTTGGATTGTAATTAAATATTTGACACAGCATAGGTTTCTGACACAGAATGAAAGTGGTCTAAGATACTTAAAAAAATTTAATTTACCTATTCAAACCATATCATTATTATTTGCTTTTATATATAAATCAGAAATAACCAATTTAAAATGGAAAATTTTAAAGAAAACCCCCCCCCCCCAAACTTTTTGAACCCCCTTATGATTCATCACCCCAAAACTCAATCCCAGCCTTCCCTTTGTGGTATGGTACCTTGCAGTACAATTTCAGAGAGATCCATACACTTGAACACATGTTATTGTCTGGAAACTAGAAAAATGCTTGTTTTTTGGCCCCTTTTTGGTCCCAAATTCCTTAACTGTTGGTACCATAACCCCCAAAATCAATCCCCACTTTCCTTTTGTGGTATTGAACCTTATTTTAAAATTTCATTGAGATCCATTCACTTAAACTAAAGTTAGAGTGCCAAAACTAATGTGTCTTCGGACAATGACACCGACGACGACAACGTCATACCAATATACGACCACAAAATTTTTTTTGCGGTCGTATAAAAAGGAGTTCTTAATTAAGAAATAAACTGATTCACTGAGCATAGCTGGATACACCCGCAGAGGTACTACCCTGAACAGCTGGGGCAAAAATGGACACAATATTCAAGCTTGATACAGGTCTGAATTTGGATTGTAATTAAATATTTGACATATTATAGTTTCTGAATAAATGTAGTCAATGAACTTGAAATCGGTTATATGAATTGAATTTATATTCAATTAAAGATTTCTTGCTGTTGTGCAATACACTGTGCTGTTGTGCAATACTTAATAAATCTTTGCCAGACTATAAACAAATAAAGTTCAATTTCTTCTCAATGTCATATTTGAAATTTATGAAAATCAATAGGGAGATTACATCAATAGCTATAAATAATTCACCAAAGTTTCATGTGAACTGCTTAAAGCATTTTTGAGTTGTTGTCCAAAAACTGGAAAATCCCCCCTTTTTTAATGAATAAAACCCCATAACTCAGAAATGTAAAATCTAAAATTTATAAAATTCTAAAGGGAGCTTACGGATTGATAATTTAGTCTTAGATGCAAGATTTTTTTATCAGTTGTTAGTGGCTTTGAACTAGCTGTCAGTAACTGCGAGTACTCTCAGATTTGTACTAAGTGTCTTTTTGTTGTTTGGATGTACAACTACCCTACCACGTCCACTTGTATTTGTATTTATCCATCTGATGAGTTTAGCCTCTTTCAACTGATTTTTATAGTTCTTTCTTATATTGTACTGTTACACCACTGTCCCAGGTTAGGGGGAGGGTTGGGATCCCGCTAACATGTTTAAGCCCGCCACATTCTGTATGTACATGTATGTGCCTGTCCCAAGTCAGGAGCCTATAAAAGTGTAATTCAGTGGTTGTCGTTTGTTTATGTGTTGCATATTTGTTATATTTGTTCATTTTTTTACATAAAATAGGCCGTTAGTTTTCTTGTTTGAATTGTTTTACATTGTCATTTCTGGGCCTTTTATAGCCGACTGTGCGGTATGGGCTTTGCTCATTGTTGAAGGCCGTACTGTGACCTATAGCTGTTAATTTCTGTGTCATTTGGTCTCTTGTGCATGTGTGGAGAGTTGTCTCATTGGCAATCATACCACATCTTCTTTTTTATATTTACATCAACAGATATAAAAAATTCACCAAAGTCAAGGTGAGACAACAAAACTTAGTTATTAGATCTCTGAAATTTTTTACAGGGTACGAGTTTTTCTCATTGTTGGAGATTGTACGGTGACAGTAACACCTGTAACTGCTTAAACCCATTTCTTATGCACTTTAGTTTGATAAACTCACTGAATATCATACCACATCTCCTTATTTTTATATGCATTACAATTTACATGTGCATGTAATTGTAAATATATATATATCAGAACAAAATTCATTGCGTCACTTTTATTTATGCATCCTTTGGCACAATACAAGTTCTAAAATTACACAACATAAAACAACTAAATGTTATTTCAGATGAAAGTTTTGTTTCAGTTCCATTCATAGGATTTATTAGAATTTTGTATGTTTTGCCAAGTCCAATAATTCGCTCTATGTGACATAGAGACATAGTTGACTAAACCACCAGGTGTCGAACATTCAAGAATTTTCAGTGTTTCTGTTTTTATTTGATGAAAAGGCAGTGTTTCTGTTTTTATTTGATGAAAAGGTTGCCTGAGCTCTAGGAGCTTTAGGTTTTATCACGGGATATTCTGTGCTGTCAATAATAATCCAAGTCGTAGGAAACTTTAATTTGAAGTTGGATGGTGAAAAATACCTGACTAAACCACTAAATTGCCAAGTGTTAGCCTCACACCACTGTTTAGACATAAAAACAATCCATGTATACACAATTTTCTTAACACTAAATTCAATCTAGAATCTAGACAGTTCAAAGTTGGTTGTATGATGCCTCAATTTCATCAAAGTCATAAAAAAACTGATTTTCAACTGACACCCTATCAATTTGAAAATATATGTATCTCAAACAATGTGCTGCTGGACCAAGTGTGGTCAAAACAAATAAAAATTTAGTATACAACTCTAAACCGGTATAAAAATGCATGGCTGTGTCACGTGTCTTCATTTCAAAATTCTCTGCTGAAAACATAGGCATTGATGGTGTTTGCGTAATTCCATCTGTGAAGCTCAACATTAGCTCGGCAGTTGGTGGTGGACAGTCATAAATCCTTTCTGCAGTATGAATGACTTCTTCAGGAAAACCAACTTTACAATCAAAACTTTCCTCTAGATTTCTACTACAATATTCATCAAGTTTAGTTCTTTTGTTTTCACAGGAAACTGCCCTGATTTTTCTTTTTGCAGACGATTCAGTCTCTTGCTTGGTCCAGGAAAATAGGCTGGGAATTGCAGTAGACTTAAGTCTCTGTATGGTGGGTTTGTTCCCTGAAAAAGGTTATAAAACATTAGTTTTTTTATAATTAAATGAACTTCCATTAGCAATGTATACTTTGTACTACCTGGCGAAATATTAACTAGATTTATTCATTACAATCTGGATAAAACTATGTTTGCCTGATTCAAAGTATGTTATGTAAATCCAAAGGACAAACAATGAGAGACTTATGCAACAAACGTACATTGTTTGTACCTAAATAACTATAATATAGATGAGAGCATGTCATTGTTTTGTTCCTGTTAACATTGTCATTGATATTTTTCAAGAAAGTCTATGAGGCATAGCTTATGCATTCCTGTCATTACTACATTAGCATAATTACTGCTAAAATAATTCTCAGTATGATATACCTCATGAAGAAATCATTATAATTGTAGCAATCACCAAAAAATCTCAAACAGATCACATTGAATCGTAATCCAAAAAATTATGACGTCTTGAATTACCCACCCCCTTTTATTCTAAAACGATAATTGCGGTTGTAAACAGACTTTGGTTTATTCGCATGGCGATTACATATATAACTATATATTTTACAAAGAAAATAGTGTTTTACCATGAATAGTTTCCTGCACGTAGTCTTTTTCAGTAAAACGTGCCTTGCAAACAACAGCTGATTGAGATGGACTCCACGATATCATCGTGTTCTCGTCCAATCTGCGTATGGGCCATGGCGTTGATCCAACTTTTCCTTCTTTTTAAGTCATTTGGAAATGCATGTCCTCCTCTTAAATGACATCCAGGTACACAACAACAAGTACTTGGCATCGTTAATTAAAAATATAACTGAAATAGTTGCACAGTGTAGAAACCGGAAGTAGAGGAACAGGATCCGCTACCACGGCGCCACCTATTCAGGAACGATAATTTGCTACTTTAATTAATTAAACTGCGAAAATAAAGTTAGACGGGTTCACGTGCATAAACAGAAATGCGCTTTAAATTGTATAATATAATTCATGTTCAGTCGACCTTTGATTATTATATCAACGACTGAAATGATTTATAAACATCTAGATTGCAGATAACACTCGAAATTAACCCGAGCTCTTTCCACACGGAATT